GTGACTAGGTGTGACCAGGTGAGACCAGGTGTGACCAGGTGTGACCAGGTGTGACCAGGTGAGACCACGTGTGACCAGGTGTGACCAGGTGAGACCACGTGGGACCAGGTGAGACCAGGTGAGACCAGGTGAGACCAGGTGAGACCAGGTGGGACCAGGTGAGACCAGGTGAGACCAGGTGAGACCAGGTGGGACCAGGTGGGACCAGGTGAGACCAGGTGTGACCAGGTGGGACCAAGTGGGACCAGGTGAGATCAGGTGGGACCAGGTGGGACCAGGTGAGACCAGGTGTGACCAGGTGGGACCAGGTGGGACCAGGTGAGACCAGGTGTGACCAGGTGTGACCAGGTGTGACTAGGTGTGACCAGGTGTGACCAGGTGTGACCAGGTGTGACCAGGTGAGACCAGGTCTGACCAGGTGTGACCAGGTGAGACCAGGTGTGACAAGGTGTGACAAGGTGAGACCAGGTGAGACCAGGTGTGACCAGGTGTGACCAGGTGTGACCAGGTGTGACCAGGTGTGACCAGGTGTGACCAGGTGTGACCAGGTGGGACCAGGTGGGACCAGGTGTGACCAGGTGTGACCAGGTGTGACCACGTGTGACCAGGTGAGACCAGGTGAGACCAGGTGAGACCAGGTGAGACCAGGTGTGACCAGGTGAGACCAGGTGTGACCAGGTGTGACCAGGTGTGACCAGGTGTGACCAGGTGTGACCAGATGAGACCAGGTGTGACCAGGCGTGACCAAGCGTGACCAGGTGAGACCAGGTGTGACCAGGTGTGACCAGGTGTGACCAGGTGTGACCAGGTGTGACCAGGTGTGTCCAGGTGCGACCAGGTGTGACCAGGTGTGACCAGGTGAGACCAGGTGAGACCAGGTGTGACCAGGTGAGACCAGGTGTAACCAGGTGTGACCAGGTGTGACCAGGTGAGACCAGGTGTGACCAGGTGTGACCAGGTGTGACCAGGTGAGACCAGGTGTGACCAGGTGTGACCAGGTGAGGCCACGTGGGACCAGGTGAGACCAGGTGAGACCAGGTGAGACCAGGTGAGACCAGGTGGGACCAGGTGAGACCAGGTGAGATCAGGTGAGACCAGGTGGGACCAGGTGGGACCAGGTGAGACCAGGTGTGACCAGGTGGGACCAGGTGGGACCAGGTGAGATCAGGTGGGACCAGGTGGGACCAGGTGAGACCAGGTGTGACCAGGTGGGACCAGGTGGGACCAGGTGAGACCAGGTGTGACCAGGTGTGACCAGGTGTGACCAGGTGTGACCAGGTGTGACCAGGTGTGACCATGTGTGACCAGGTGAGACCAGGTGTGACCAGGTGTGACCAGGTGAGACCAGGTGTGACAAGGTGTGACAAGGTGAGACCAGGTGAGACCAGGTGTGACCAGGTGTGACCAGGTGTGACCAGGTGTGACCAGGTGTGACCAGGTGTGACCAGGTGTGACCAGGTGGGACCAGGTGGGACCAGGTGTGACCAGGTGTGACCAGGTGTGACCAGGTGTGACCAGGTGAGACCAGGTGAGACCAGGTGAGACCAGGTGAGACCAGGTGTGACCAGGTGAGACCAGGTGTGACCAGGTGTGACCAGGTGTGACCAGGTGTGACCAGGTGTGACCAGATGAGACCAGGTGTGACCAGGCGTGACCAGGCGTGACCAGGTGAGACCAGGTGTGACCAGGTGTGACCAGGTGTGACCAGGTGTGACCAGGTGTGACCAGGTGTGTCCAGGTGCGACCAGGTGTGACCAGGTGTGACCAGGTGAGACCAGGTGAGACCAGGTGAGACCAAGTGAAACCAGGTGTGACCAGGTGTGACCAAGTGTGACCAGGTGTGACCAGGTGTGACCAGGTGTGACCAGGTGTGACCAGGTGTGACCAGGTGTGACCAGGTGTGACCAGGTGAGACCAGGTGTGACCAGGTGTGACCAGGTGAGACCACGTGGGACCAGGTGAGACCAGGTGAGACCAGGTGAGACCAGGTGAGACCAGGTGGGACCAGGTGAGACCAGGTGAGACCAGGTGAGACCAGGTGGGACCAGGTGGGACAAGGTGAGACCAGGTGTGACCAGGTGGGACCAGGTGGGACCAGGTGAGACCAGGTGGGACCAGGTGGGACCAGGTGAGACCAGGTGTGACCAGGTGGGACCAGGTGGGACCAAGTGAGACCAGGTGTGACAAGGTGTGACTAGGTGTGACCAGGTGTGACCAGGTGTGACCAGGTGTGACCAGGTGAGACCAGGTGTGACCAGGTGTGACCAGGTGAGACCAGGTGTGACAAGGTGTGACAAGGTGAGACCAGGTGAGACCAGGTGTGACCAGGTGTGACCAGGTGTGACCAGGTGTGACCAGGTGAGACCAGGTGAGACCACGTGAAACCAGGTGTAACCAGGTGTGACCAGGTGGGACCAGGTGAGACCAGGTGTGACAAGGTGTGACTAGGTGTGACCAGGTGTGACCAGGTGTGACCAGGTGTGACCAGGTGTTACCAGGTGAGACTAGGTGTGACCAGGGTGTGACCAGGTGAGACCAGGTGTGACCAGGTGGGACCAGGTGGGACCAGGTGAGACCAGGTGTGACCAGGTGTGACTAGGTGTGACCAGGTGTGACCAGGTGTGACCAGGTGTGACCAGGTGTGGCCAGGTGAGACCAGGTGTGACCAGGTGTGACCAGGTGAGACCAGGTGTGACAAGGTGTGACAAGGTGAGACCAGGTGAGACCAGGTGTGACCAGGTGTGACCAGGTGTGACCAGGTGTGACCAGGTGTGACCAGGTTTGACCAGGTGTGACCAGGTGGCACCAGGTGGGACCAGGTGTGACCAGGTGTGACCAGGTGTGACCAGGTGTGACCAGGTGAGACCAGGTGAGACCAGGTGAGACCAGGTGTGACCAGGTGTGACCAGGTGAGACCAGGTGTGACCAGGTGTGACCAGGTGTGACCAGGTGTGACCAGGTGTGACCAGATGAGACCAGGTGTGACCAGGCGTGACCAGGCGTGACCAGGTGAGACCAGGTGTGACCAGGTGTGACCAGGTGTGACCAGGTGTGACCAGGTGTGACCAGGTGTGACTAGGTGTGACCAGGTGTGACCAGGTCGTCATCTCACCCTTCCCTCCCTTCCCCTTCTCCACCTTCCCATTTCCCTCTCTCCCATTGACCAGCTTCAACGGACCCGACTTGTTCCGCCTGCCTCGCTGGACAAGCTCGAGGCCCGACTTCTACCATTCTCCAGCTCCAACGGACCTGATTTCTACGGCCTGCCTCACACGACCGCACTCCTCGCTTCAATCCTTCCCTCCCTTCCCCTTTCCATATCCTCTCCTTCCGCCCTTCCAGGCGGGAGCACTGGACAAGCTCGAGGCCTTCACCAGCTTTAACGGGCCGGACTTCTACCACCTGCCTCGCAACTCCACTCCTCCCTTCAACCACTTCCTCCTTTCCCCTGTCCCTCTCTCCCATCCCCTTACAGGCGGGCGCACTTGACAAGCTCGCGGCATTCACGAGCTTCAACGGGCCCGACTTCTACGGCCTGCCTCGCAACTCCCGCCGTGTCACTCTCATCCGCCAACCGTGGGCCGTGCCTGACTCGTACCCATACAGCGATGGGGGTTCCTTGGTGCCCATGCTGGCAGGGGAGCAGTTGGAGTGGCAGGTGTTGCCGTTAGATAGCTGAGTGAACGCTCACCCACATGTGAACCATGCTTGAATGGCCTTTAATCAACTCCCACCACCATCACTCTCATATGCCAACCGTGGGTCGTGCCCGACTCGTACACGTATGGGAAAGGGGACTCCCTCCTTCCTATGCTGGCAACGGAGCAGCTAGAGTGGCAGGTGCTGCCTCTGACAACCGAACCAAGCCCAAGTTTCGAACCAAACCAAAGAAGCTTGCTCATTCACAACGACCCCGCTTCGCCTCCCTGGGTCGCGCCCGACTCATACCCGACAGCACTGGGGGATCCCAGAACCTGCCGTTGTTCCATGCTTGCAGGGGGGTAGTAGCTGAATTTGCAGGTGCTGTCTATAAATGTCTGATTATAACCTTGGATAAAGGTGTTCAGTGTACTGTGAATCTGTGATCCTTGATCCAGTTCGCCTGTGAGCCTCGTATAGAGACCTTACAATAAATCGATACACTATCACCTCTTGCCTTGTTTGTTATACGGTACTGCTTGATAAGCTCGAACAACCTGCAAGTTATGCATGAGTTAGCTTTACGCGGCACGTGTGTGAGCTGAGCTACAATATATGTTGATACGTGCCCTTTTATGCATCTAGTGCCACAAACCCAATGGCAGGGCAGTCAGATTTCCATTGCTTCCACTCGACTCGACGCATCCTGGTGTGACGATGATTGATTGAATAAACCCTAAACCCACAACACTCAAACGCCCTGCCCTGTCTGCTCCATGCCTTGCTGTGAGCACCACCGCCAATGACACGCCCCCATGACACTCCCCACCACGCACCTATCTGCCCGTCCAACCAATGACCCAGTACCGCTATGCCCCCTGCCTGGCCCCATCCCACACTTATAATATCACGCCCCTGCCTGCCCCATCACCCTGTGCCGTTTGATCAGCTGCATTAAAAACACATTCCAAGAGACCACAGGCCCAGCTTCGAGGTGCCGCAAAAGGCCTCTATGCCACAGCCTGCCCCATGAACCAGTGTCCCTGTGCCGCTAAACTACACCCCTGCCCGCCCCGTGACTCTATGGCTCAGTGCCCCTGTGCCTCTACGTCCCTGCCTGCCCCATCACCCTATGCCGTTTAACCAGTTGCAGTAGAAACACATTCCACGAGTCCACAGGCCCGGGCAGGCACCAGTGCAGGCAGTCCTGCGGGGGAGGGTACTTGGCCTCTTTCTCCTCCTCCCTGCGCTTCTCCAGCTCTGCAACACTGTTCAACCCCCTCCAGGCGCCTCAACACGCTGCTGCCCTGTCTGACTGGCTCATAGCTTCAAGCACTAGCCTACCTCATCACCCTGTGCCACTACGCCCCTGCCTGCCCCATCACCCTGTGCCGTTTCACGAGCTGCAGCAGAAACACATTCCACGAGTCCACAGGCCCGGGCAGGCACCAGTGCAGGCAGTCCTGAGGGGGAGGGTACCTGGCCTCCTTATCCTCCTCCCTGCGCTTCTCCAGCTCGGCTACACTGTTCAGCCCTCTATACGGCCCCGGATGCCCATCCACTCTCACCCCCGCACTCGGCATTACATCCATCAGGCCAAACCGCCACTTTAACTCATCTCCCAGTCCCTCCATAGCCTCACTATAAGCTGCCTTCTGCTCGTTATAGATCGCGTTCCCGTACGAGTTCGTATAAGTGTAGTTGCTGCCACGAGGCTCGGCCAGGCCTGCGCACGAGCCTCCGGTGTTCCACTGCCCGCCCTCGTAGTGGTCCGGGGAGTAGGTTCGGAAGACAAACAGCTGCTTCGGGTTCGCCTTGACAGCTGCAGCCACGTCAGCAAAGACGGTCCGAATGGCAATTGAGAAAGCAGCAGTGTTATTCAAAGGAACCTGTATATCGTTCTGTAAATCCTTCTGTGTGTCTTTCTTTATATCCTGCAACCGTCTGCTACTACTGGCTGCTCTGTTGTTCACTGGAAGCTTTGAATCCTCAGCCACTACCCTTCCCTCCTCCAACCTTCTCCGCTGCTCCACCTGTTGTTCCTGCCCACTACTCTCACCTCCCTTCCTTTCCAGCTGCTCCGCACTGCCTTCAGAACCACTCTCTTTCCCACTTTCTCCTCCTCCCCCTCCCGCTCCCGCTCCCCCTCCTCCTCCTGCTCCTGCACTCGTCTCCTCGCCATTCCCCACTCCTCCCCCTCCCTCCACCTCCTTCCCATGCGCCTCCCACCACCCGCCCTGTGACCCAACCACGCGTCCCCGCACCACAAACAACGCCGGCTTGACAAACCAGTGCCCAGTGCATAGCACCACCACATCGTACCGCTCTATACCCCCCCACCACTTCTCCCCCGTCCTGTCCAGGTGCAGGCGCGGAAGGGTCGCAGGGGCGGAGGGCAGCGCGGAGGGGGGAGGGTCGGGGGACTCGTGGACGAGCCATGCGGACCAGATGCGCGCAATGGTGACCTTGGCGCGTGGGAAGACCATGCGGATCAGGTTCTTGTTGCCTCGCAGGTTGGGGGTCTCCACCTGGTGATTTGATGGGAAAGGAGGGGAAGGGAAGGGAAGGGGAGGGAAGGGGAGGGAAGGGGAGGGGAAGGACTCAGGGGCTTTGAATCGAGCCATGCGGACCAGATGCGCGCAATGGTGACTTTGGCACGGGGGAAGACCATTCGGATTATGTTCTTGCTGCCTCGCAGGTTGGGGGTTTCAACCTGGCGATAGGGGTAAGGGAAGAGGAAAGGAAGAGGAAAGACAAGGGAAGGGACAAAATGTGTGACCTTTGGTTTGAGCCATGCGGACCAGATGCGGGCAATGGTGACCTTGGCGCGTGGGAAGACCATGCGGATCAGGTTCTTGTTGCCTCGCAGGTTGGGGGTCTCCACCTGGTGTTTTGATGGGAAAGGAGGGGAAGGGAAGGGAAGGGGAGGGAAGGGGAGGGAAGGGGAGGGGAAGGACTCAGGGGCTTTGAATCGAGCCATGCGGACCAGATGCGCGCAATGGTGACCTTGGCGCGCGGGAAGACCAATCGGATGATGCTCTTGCTGCCTCGCAGGTGGGGGGTTTCAACCTGGATTACCGGGGGCAGAGAAGGGAGAAGGGGACGTGTGAGGTTGACGAGGGGGAAGACCATGCGGATCAGATTCTTGCCTGGCAGGGGGGAAGTCCACGCAGTGTCCCCCGTCACTCACCTGACTCAGCATTGCCCCCCGTCACTCACCTGATTCAGCATTGCCCCCCGTCACTCACCTGACTGAGCAGGCAGATGAGCGACTCCATATGGTTCCGCGCCACAGAGTCCCCGACGAACAGCACGCTCCCCCCTCGCACTCCCCTTGGCCTTTCCCCCTGCATCACTCCTTCGTTACTCACCTGGCTGAGCAGGCAGATGAGCGACTCCATGTGATTCCGCGCCACAGAGTCCCCCACAAACAGCACGCTCTTCCCTCGCATCACGTGCATGAACTCCACCGCATCAAACCTCGGCAGCGCCCCGCACTCCGCCCTCCCTCTCCCCTGAATCTGTCCCAATGGCTCACCTGACTGAGCAGGCAGATGAGTGACTCCATGTGGTTCCGCGCCACAGAGTCCCCCACAAACAGCACGCTCTTCCCTCGCATCACGTGCATGAACTCCACCGCGTCACATCTCAGCAACGCCCCACACTCCACCTTCTCTCTGCCATGCATCACTCCCGCATCGCTCACCTGACTGAGCAGGCAAATGAGTGATTCCATGTGATTCCGCGCCACAGAGTCACCCACGAACAGCACGCTCCTACCTCTCATCACATGCATGAACTCCACCGCGTCAATCAAACCTCGTTAAAGGCCCAGAAACCCCCTGCCTCTCCCCTGAGTCTGTCTGTCCCACTGGCTCACCTGACTCAGCAGGCAGATCAAGGATTCCATGTGGTTCCGCGCCACCGAGTCACCCACGCTCTTCCCTCGCATCACATGCAACAACTCCACCGCGTCAAATCAGCGCCCCGCACTCCCCCTCCCTCTCCCCTGAATCCGGACCCTCCCCACCCCCTTTGTCCCCTACATCACATCACGTGCAAGAACTCCACCGCGTCAAATCTCAGCAACGCCCCACACTCCACCTTCTCTCTGCCATGCATCACTCCCGGATCGCTCACCTGACTGAGCAGGCAAATGAGTGATTCCATGTGATTCCGCGCCACAGAGTCCCCCACGAACAGCACGCTCTTCCCTCTCATCAAATGCATGAACTCCACCGCATCAAACCGCGGCAGCGCCGCACACTCCTCCCGCCCCTCCGGCCGCCACCGCCACCGCTCGTACGCGCTGTCCGGCCGCCCGTTGCCCTGGCAGTTCTGGTGGCGCGAGATGGCGGCACACGTGTTGTTGGTGTAGAGCGGAGGTTCTGTGTCTGGTTGCCACGTGCCGTGATACAAGTCACAGTCTGCAGGGACTGGGAACGGGACAGGGGGGAGATGGGAGTGCAATTTGTCTGCCCTGGCAGTTCTGGTGCTGCGAGATGGCGGCGCACGTGTTGTTGGTGTAGAGCGGCGGGTCCAAGTCTGGCTGCCACGTGCCGTGGTACAATTCACAGTCCGCAGGGACTGGGAACGGGAGGGGGGTCATTGACAAATAGAGAGCGGGAAGAGAGAGCAAAGGAATTCAGTTCAAGTCTGGCTGCCACGTGCCGTGGTACAGGTCGCAGTACGCGGGTACTGGGGATTGGGATCGGGTGAGAAGAGAGAGCAAGGGGATTGGGTCTAAGTCCGGCTGCCATGGTACAGGTCGCAGTCCGCGGGTACTGGGGGAGCGAGGCGGGGGAAGATGGGAGTGGGGTGGGACTGCGTGGGAGTGGGGGCGGGATTATCATCCCGAAGGTTGGCAATCGGAGAGGGGGGAGAACAAGCATGTGGGTTGGGTCTGCGTCTGGTCAGAACTCAGGTCGCAGTCGCAGGGGGTGGGGAAGGGAGGCAGTGTGCCGCAGATTGGGGGGAAAGGGAAAGAGCGGAAGGAGGGGTAGTGGGGTTGTTTGAGACCCTGACTACCCCACTACCCCTCTGGGAAGCTTCAGAGTGACCTTTCGCTAGCATGGGCCAGGGTACGCAGGGCTGGGAAAGGACGTGGTGCGGTGGAAAGGAGCTGCTGCGGTGGAAAGGAGCTGTCTGCAAAGCATACCGTCTAGATGGACCTTCTCTTTGATCTCCTCGTACTGCTGACGCTTCTTCCCCTTCTTCTTCCCCTTCCTCTTCTCCTTCTCGTTCTCCTCCCTCCTCTTCCCCTTCATCTCCTTCTCCTTCTCCTCCTTCTTCTTCTCCTCCCCCTTCTCCTCCCTTTTCCCCTCTTTATTATCCACCTCCTCCACCTCGATCCCCCTCTTCTCCTCTTTCCTCTCCTCTACCTCTTTCTCTCCTACGTGTCGGCTCCCTCCCTCGCTCTCCACAACCACAGTCTCATCCTGCCGCCTCTCCAGTGACTTCTGAGTTGCCTCGGAAAGCCTTTCCTCTCCCTGACCATCGCCGTTCCCTCCCTCTCTCATCCCCTCATGCCTCATACTAGTTCCCACCCCGTTAACCTCACCCCTGCTCTCCGCCTTGCCTCCATCGCTCTCCGCTTTCCCTACATGGGACTCCGTATTCTCTCCAAAGCTGCCCGCCTTCCTCTCCCCATTTGAGCCGTTTACTTCACCTCCCGCTTCGCCCCTATTTCGCCCAGGGTCGGGTAACCCGTCGTCGCCGTCGCCGCTCGCCTCCCCCACTCGCTCAACCGCTTTCTCTCGCTCTTTCTGGTTGGCACCCGTCACTGCCACGCTTTCACTGCTTTCTCCCAAACGTGAAACGGTTTCTTTGTCAGGCTCGCTATCCACGCGCTCACTCGCAGTTGCCAAGCCACCGTGCGACGCTTGCGACGGTAACAACGACGACGGCGAAGACTCGACGACGATCTCCGCTCGCCACGGCTGCCGTTCCACGGCCGGCCACCTCCCGCTCTCAGATCCGCTTCGGCGCAGCAAACCCCAGACGAGCAGGCACGCGAGGAGCGGCAGCACGAGGAACGAAAGAATGCGTTTCGACTGGAATGCAAGGATGATCCACATGATCACGCGGCCTACGCCGTCCTCTCTTCGCGATTTGGTGCGTGGAAGGTGAGAGCCGGAAAAGGCGGCTGATCTTGGAGATTGGCTTCCCGTGAAGAAGGAATTGCACGACTCGCTGCGTTTTGGCATCTGATTGAGCGATCCTGACCGTTGAGCGATCTCCGCGAGGGCTTTCGAAAGGAATGTCATGGTGACGATTATAAACGCACAGGTGTGCGACGGTAGAGGTGAGGCAATGCACGGCTGTACGGTAAACGCCTAGAATGGCACTCAGGAAGGAGAAGGCGCGAAAGCCCTTTGCCGTTACATCCTGGGCCGCGGATTGAGAGACCTTGCCGAAGCAGGTTCTAGGATTTTAGGAACGAAACGATGAACTCGACAAGGCTGTACTTTTCACAACTGACTACTTCTGAGCATTATTCCAAACCCAGGAATCAACGGTCGTTTAGCCAACGATCGGGACTTTCTAATGGAGCTCCGTCCGAGATCAGTCGCCTCGACGTGCAGATGTCTTGAATTCCGTGAGGCAGGAGAGACTGACTATGTAATAACTGCCATAACTTCCTGAGAAAAATGCGAGCGGTACGTAAAAAGACTGATAAGCCACAGAACCTCGCCGAGTCTATAAGGTATCTGGGCTTGAGGTTGGGCCTACAGCTAACCTCCAAATCATCCCAGCCTCGAGATTTGAGGGAACTACAGGATGGCATTCAGCAGGATCTGTTGACCATCAGTGTGTTCCGGAATTGCTGACACAATCGAGGGAAGCTACAGTACCTGAATTTCACTTCCCGCCTAAACTTATTATTGGCTGGCTGGAACAATCCGCCATGCAAACTCTCTGACACTGACACAACTCGCTTCAGCGCGAACCGTGCAAGTGAAGAGCAAAATACAATCAAATCCAACTATACATCAGAAGGAATCAATCAAATTAGCTGAGCACAGGTAACATGTGCACTTGCTCAGTACAAATGAAAGAAAAAATATTGTAATAGATGCACAATTTACATCTCACTGTGCAGCTGCTGGCAACAGTGGCGAATGCACAGGCGAGGACGACGATGACGTCATGGATGAATGTGGGCTGCACATGCCATCAGCCGGTGACACTAGATGATGCTGACGTGGCATTGAAAACGCCTGCCTCAGCTGGATCTCCAGCCTTCTTGAACTCGCCGCATCCGACGGTTGAGATCGATCAACCGAACCTGGATGATGCTGCCTGGGCTGAAGAGTTGAAGTAGGCGCCGAGGATTGGGCGGCGGAAGAGGAAGAGGACGAAGAGGCGGCACCCTGGGTGCGGGGAAGGGTGAGGTCATCAGGTGCAGCAGCTACAGGGCTATCGATGGAACACAGAGACTGCACAGGATAGAAGGAGGAGGGCGGGAGGGGTCACAGAGAAAGAGAAAGTTTGGTGTATGAGAAAGAATGGCATGTGTAGATTGGGTGAGAAAGAGGTTTGGGTGAGATTGCCAGGTGCAGCAGCTACAGGGTTATCGATGGAACACAGAGACTGCAGAACATGAACCCGGGAGAAAAAGGGAGAGGGGAGATGAAACGGGGGGGAGTGGAGGAAGGAAAGTCGAAGAGAAGGTTGAGGTATGAGAAAAGTTAAAATGCAAGGAGCAACAGGTAAGGTCGTCAGGTGCAGAAGCAGCTTCGACATGGTCGTGGGGAACAAGGGCCGCTGCGCTGACTGACACAAACCTAACCAGACAAAACCGACCATTGAACCCCTTGCAACCGCACACCATCGCTTCTTACCGGCGAGCCGGTGAAGCTGCTGGTGCCCGATTCGCCCTCCTCACTACCCTCCGACATGATCGTGGGAAACATGGGGTGGCGCAGAGATCCTGCCCCAACCAGATCAAACAAACAGTTCATTGAACCTCTTTCAATCGCACACAAGCCAAACACAAGCCATTGAACCAGTTCCAACCGCACACAACCCCTTCTTACCGGCGAGCCAGTGAAGCTGCTGGTGCCGGACTCCCCCTCCTCGCTGCCCTCCGACATGATCGTGGGGAACATGGGGCGGCGCAGAGATCCCGCCCCAACCAGACCAAACAAACAGTTCATTGAACCTCTTTCAATCGCACACAACCCCTTCTTACCGACGAGCCAGTGAAGCTGCTGGTGCCCGATTCGCCCTCCTCGCTACCTTCCGACATGATCGTGGGGAACATGGGGCGGCGTAGTGAGCCCGCCCCTCTGCCCGAACAGACACACAAGCCAAACACAAGCCATTGAACCAGTTCCAACCGCACACAACCCCTTCTTACCGGCGAGCCAGTGAAGCTGCTGGTGCCCGATTCGCCCTCCTCGCTACCTTCCGACATGATCGTGGGGAACATGGGGCGGCGTAGTGAGCCCGCCCCTCTGCCCGAACAGACACACAAGCCAAACACAAGCCATTGAACCAGTTCCAACCGCACACAACCACTTCTTACCAGCGAGCCAGTGAAGCTGCTGGTGCCCGATTCTCCCTCCTTGCTACCTTCCGACATGATCGTGGGGAACATGGGGCGGCGTAGTGAGCCCGCCCCTCTGCCCGAACAGACACACAAGCCAAACACAAGCCATTGAACCAGTTCCAACCGCACACAACCACTTCTTACCAGCGAGCCAGTGAAGCTGCTGGTGCCCAATTCGCCCTCCTCGCTACCTTCCGACATGATCGTGGGGAACATGGGGCGGCGTAGTGAGCCCGCCCCTCTGCCCGAACAGACACACAAGCCAAACACAAGCCATTGAACCAGTTCCAACCGCACACAACCCCTTCTTACCGGCGAGCCAGTGAAGCTGCTGGTGCCCGATTCGCCCTCCTCGCTACCTTCCGACATGATTGTGGGGAACATGGGGCGGCGTAGTGATGCAACCAGACCAGACAAACCTTTGAACCTCTTTCAACCGCGCACAATACCCTCTTACCGGCGAGCCAGTGAAGCTGCTTGTTCCAGACTCGCCCTCCTCGCTGCCCTCCGACATAATCGTGGGGAACATGGGGCGGCGCAGTGAGCCCGCCCCTCTGCCCGCCCCCCTGGGCTGCACGGGCCAGGCTGGCAGCACCCGTGGCTGCGGCTGTAGCGGGGGAAGCTGCGGCCGTGCATGCTGTTGCTGCTGCTGCTGGGGTGGTGGTTGCGAGGGGGGCTGCGGGGATGGTTGTTGTTGCTGCTGCTTGCCCTGTTGACTCTGCTGGGCTGGCTGGGTCTGAGCCCCCTGCTGCTGCTGCTCATGCCGAACCTGGCCTGCTGTTGATGACAACGACGATGAAACCACCTCTCTCTCCTGCCTCTCCGCTTTCACGTCTGATGCTGCCCCACCCGCTCCGCCACCACCACTGCCCCCACCACCAGCCACCGCTGCCACAGACGAACCCTCCTTGGCACCAGGGGACCGTAGCATCGCTTTCCCCTCACTCCCACCGCTACCCACACCACCACCGGCACCCCCACCACCCCCGGAAACCACTCCACTAGGAGACGAATTCAGCTCCAACGGCGGAGGCGGGAGGGCATATAACTCAGTGACCTTGGGCGGGGAGAGCGCAGGAGCAGCCATAGCAGCATAATAGCTGTTACTCGGGCCAATCGGGCCGGATTTTATCAGCCTCTCTCCCCGCATGTGCCCCGTGCCGCTGCTGCTGAAACCGCCGCTGCCGCCGCCGCCGCTGCTGCTGCTGCTCCCGCTGCCACCGGCACCGGTCAGGCCTAGAATGCTGGCTGAGGAGAGCAAACCACTGCCTCCGTAGAAAGAGCTTCGGGCTATGGGTCCACTCAGGGCCTTGCTGGGTAAACCACCCTGGAAAACAGGCGAGGCGCCAAACCCTAATCCGCTGCTACTGCTCCCAAACCCTAATCCGCCGCTCGGGCTGGTGTTGAAACCATAAGCTGGGTGGGACGGATAGCTTTGGCCCACACCCAGTCCTCCTGTTTGAACGCCCATTGAAACTCCAGTTGAAGGTCCCATCGACACTGCAGTCGGGACTGCTAGGCCTGCTGCTCCTGCTGCGGCTGCCACCCCTGTTGGCCTCATACCGGCTCCAGACACACCAGCCTGCCAGCTAGGATGAGGCTCCATACCATACCCTGCCCCGCCGCCCACTGCTCCCCCTGCTGCTGCCCCAGCGTAGGCATACCCAGACACAGGAGCAGCTGTGAGGGGCGTAGCAGGTTGCGAGAGCATGGGTGATTGAGAGGGCATGGGTGATAGGGTGGGCATAGGAGGTTGGGAGGGTATGGCTCCTAGAATGTACGCCTGTTGGAGGCTGGATGAGAAGGCGGGTGCTGATGATGGGGGGTATGATGCGGAGGGAGGGTAGGAGGAAGAGGGAGGGTAGGACGCGGAAGGATCGTATAAAGGCATGGCTGCTGCTCCTGCTCCTGCTCCTGCTCTTGCTGCTGCTGTTGCTCCTGTTCCCGCTCCTGCTGCTCCCAGCGCTGACCCAGTGCCAGCACCGCTGCCCCTGAGAATCGGCCCCGAATGGCTCACTCTCTTCGCTGGGGCGTGATGCACAGGGATGGCTGCACCACCAGTCAGCCCACCTGTAAAGCCCCCTGCCAAACCACCTGAAGAGCCTCCTGCCAACCCACTTGCTGGGCCTTCTCTGCTGGCAGAGCTAAAGCTGAACCGCCCTCCCCCACTTCCACCTGCTCCACCTGCCGAACCACCTGCCAGACCACCCGCCGAACCTCCTCCAGTGCCTGCAGGACTGGCGGAGGGAACGGCTGTAGCACCAGCAGCGGCTGTAGCAGAAGCACAGGCAGCAGAAGCTCCTGCTACAGCCTGTTCAACAGCAGAGGGGCGAGGGAGCGGGCCAGACATTTGCATGGCAAAGGGACCCACGTGTGCTGCTCTCCCCCTCAACCCACCTCCACCCCCTGCTGCTGCTGCAGCCACTGCAGCTGAAAGTACGGGTGTTTGAAACACAGGAGCAGCAGCCGCAGCAGCAGCAGCTGGAGGCGCTGTGTGAATGGGAGTGGCAGCAGCACTAGCAACGAGCGCAGGTGAGGTAGTGGCGCCAGGAGCAGCAGCAGAACCTGTGACGCCTGAGGCACTGCCTGAAGCATTCCCTAGGTTACTGCCAGGAGCTCTGCCAGGTGCTGCTGCTGCTGCTGCTGCCGCTGCCGCTGCTGCAGGAACTGTGGTTGTAGCACCAGCAGCAGAGGCAGGAGAAGCCGCTACAGCAGAAGCAAGAGCAGCACCAGCGGCAGGAGCAGCAGGAGCGTGAGTGGCAGCAGAGGCAGCACTAGGGAGGGCAGAAGGTGAGGGGATGGGCCCTGACTTGGAGCGAGAGTGGGGTTGGGATTTAGAGGCGGAAGAGGAGGAGGAGGAGGAAACGACAAGGGTGGAGGAGCCGACGGAAGAACTCTGCAGGTGAGTGTTTGCTCTCCCAATACGAATCTGCTGCCCTCTTTGCTGCTGCCCATGAGAATGCTGCTGCTGCTGCTGCTGCTGCTGTTGCTGCTGTCTTGCCTGCTGTTGTTGGTGATGCTGCGTCACTTGCTGCTGCTGCTGCTGCTGCTGTGGCTGCCGGTGCAGCTGTTGTGGCTGGGGAGTCGCACCCGAGGTCTGGTTACCAGCAGCAGCGGTTACAGTGCTGCTGCCGTGGGGGCTATCAGAGGACTTGCTTCGGGGAAAGCCAGGGTGCAACCGTTTCCTTGCCTGCTGTGGCAGCATCTGCTGCTGCTGCCCTTGCTGCTGCTGCTGCTGCTGCTGCTGCTGCTGCTGCTGCTGCTGCTGCTGCTGCTGCTGTTGCTGCTGCCCTTGCTGCTGCTGCCCTTGCTGCTGCTGCTGCCTTACAGCCGTCTTATGCTGCTGCTGTTGCTGTTGTTGCTGCCCTAGTGGTTGCTGCTGGTGCTGCCCTTGCTGTTGCACCGGCTGCTGCTGCTGTTGACTCTGACCTGCATACTGCTGCTGCTGCTGCTGCTGCTGCCATGCAGGCTGCACCACTCTTGCAGAACCAGCTATAGACGCTGCAGCAGCCACAGAGGCAGCAGCAGGCGCAGGGACAGCAGGGATAGCAGGGAGAGGGGCCAAGGACTCGCTTTCAGCTGATCTGTTACGGGGTAGAAGGGGCCGAGACGTGACAGAGCCGTCAGGGCGAACAACCGGCCTTAGAGGGGCTGAGTAGCTGCTCCTGCCCCTCCCTCTAGCCGCACTCTGTCCAGCTGCTGCCGCCGCAGCCGCCGCCGCCGCCGCTGCTGCTGCTGCTGCTGATCCTGACAATGATGCGGCTGCAGCAGGTACTACTGCTAATCCTGGGCCTGGAATAGTTGCAGGTCCTGTGAGAGACGGGTGGGCAGCAAAGGCAGCAGCAGCAGCAGCAGCAGCAGCAGCAGATGCAGAAGCAACAGCTGCAGAGATGGTGGTGGTGCTGCTGCTGGTGCTGGTGGTGGGTTGGGTGGAGTGGGCAGGAGGAGGCGAAGGCAGGGGCGCGGAGGTGGGGGGAGCGGGGAGGGGGGCGGAGGTGGGGAGCGAGGGCAAGGGGGCGGAGGTTGGGGGAGGGGGGAGCGTGGTGAATGTCTCTTGAGATGAGGTGACCTGCTCCACACTGCCTGCTGCCACGCCCCCCCAGTCATCATCCTCGTCATAATCATCCTCATCAACCGCACTAAGCAGCGCCACACCCCCCATCCCCAGCTCCTCCACCAGATACCCCATAATCCCATCCAGCTGCCCCAGCTGCAGCTGGGACCGTCTCAGCAGCCGGCTCTTTGCCACGTGATGCCTCACCACCTGAGAGAGAAGCGCCCTAGGTCGCCTCTGCTCTAAGGCGAGTATCCTACACCCGAGAGTCATTGCTACTTCATCGAATTCCTCCTTGGCTGCTCGTTCCTCTTCGCCCATCTCCTCCTCTTCCTCGTCCTCCTCCCTCTCGCCTTCCTCTGGCTCGTGCCTGCCTCTGCCACGCGCTGCCCCTCCTTCCCAGTCTGCTTCGCCAACTGCTGCTGTTCCTCTTGCCACTGCTGCCGCCCCTCCTCCCCCTCCTGCTCCGCCTGCTATTGCTGCTGATGCGGAACTAGCTCCGCCCCCGCCCCCTCCGCCTCCCCCTCCCCCTCCCCCGCCCCCGCCCCCGCCCCCGCCCCCGCCCACCACTCCAGAGCAACCTAGCCGTGTGGTGGCAGGGGATGGCAAGTGGGTGCGTGCTGCTGCTCTGGCTTCTGCATATGTGCGCCTGCAAGGGACACGTGTGTGAGGGAGCCGACAGGAGGGGGAGTTGGGAAGAGACACGTGTGTGAGGGGAGCCAAGAGAATGGGAACTCCGAGTTCGTGGGTGCGTGCTGCTGCTCTGGCTTCTGCATGTGTGCGCCTGCAAGGGACACGTGCGACGGGAGTCGACAGGAGGGGGAGTTGGGAAGAGATGATTTTCAGACGCCTCCAGATTCGTGGGTGCGTGCTGCTACTCTGGCCTCTGCATATGTGCGACCGAAAGAGACATGTAAGAAGGAAATCCCAGGAGCGGGATGCGACAGGGAGATTGGTTGTGCACGGCGGGTGCGTGAGTGAGCAAGTGAGCGTCAGTCAGAGATAGACGACCAGACCAGACGCCCACATGGATGGGGAGGGTAGGAACGGATGATAGCACAGGAGGGTGTGATGACTTTTGAGTCGACTCAAAAGTCAAGTGAGCGTCAGTCAGAGATAGACGACCAGACCAGACGCCCACATGGATGGGGAGGAACGGATGATAGCACAGGAGGCTATTTTTGAGGCTCAAAAGAGGAGTCTACTTTTGAGGCACCTCAAAAGTTGGCATCAGTCAGAGATAGATGGCCAGACCAGACGCCCACATGGATGGGGAGGAGAGGTGACTTTTGAGTCGACTAAGAGCAAGTGAGCGTCAGTCAGAGACAAATGACCAGACCAGACGCCCACATGGATGGGGAGGGGAGGAACGGATGATAGCACAGGAGGGTGTGCGAGCAGACGGCTCACCTCTTTGCCTCATACAGCTTCCTTGTCTCCTGATCAAACACACGGAGCGAAAAGAACAGGGAGAATGACGAGCACAATGAGGAGAAGAAAGGCGGACACAACACAGAGAAACGGAACAGAGCAAATCACACATGGTGAGGGCGAGGTTCGGACAATGGGAGGCACATACAGGGCCAATTCGCATGCAGTGAGGTGAGGGCCAAGGCACAGAGTGCGCGAAACGAGGGCAGGCAAGCTGGTAGCTCTAGAAGGAGGTGACATCATAGCAGGATGAAACGGTGCTGCAAGGGATGAGATATGCAAGGGGAGCGATAGCTCGACGCCTGCAACGGAAGAGACAGTTGCAGGGGGAGGAATCTCAAAAGCAGTGGACCCAAAAGAAGTTGACCAAAAGACCATGTATCCACGCACCTCCACTTGGTTGATCTCAACGAGCAGGGACTCCGTTGGCTCTGCTATGGCCTGTGCTAGATGCATGGCCTGGTGGGCGCACATGCATGGCACATGCACACATGCACATGCACACATGCACATGCACACATGCACACATGCACACATGCACACATGCACATGCATGGCACATGCACACATGCACACATGCACACATGCACACATGCACATGCACACATGCACATGCACACATGCACACATGCACATGCACACATGCACATGCACACATGCACATGCACACATGCACATGCACACATGCACATGCACACATGCACATGCACATACACACATGCACACATGCACACATGCACACATGCACACATGCACACATGCACATACATATTCACACGCACACATCCACATGCACATGCATGCACATCCACCAATCCCCCCCCCTCCATCCCCCACACACACACGGCCATTCAAGAACATGCAGGAACGATAATTAGATTGCGTACCCTCAACAACACACAACCGACCAGGGGTTAGGTTAACGAGCAACTTTGAGGCACCTAAAAACACCGTCTCAGAGGTGACTTTTGAGTCGACTCAAAAGTCTGCGTACCCTCAACAACACACAACCGACCAGGGAGTAACGAGCAACTTTGAGGCACCTAAAAACACCGTCTCAGCAGCACTCCACACTGGAAGGCCTGAGGCTGCTATAAGTGACCCCACGGCGACCAACCAACTACAGACAGCACGTAGTATTGAAAGGGAAGAGAGAGGGGGAGAGGGGGAGAGGAGAGGAGACGCACGTAGTAGTGAAGGAGCTATTTCGGGCAACTGGGACTGCTAGAGGTGCGTATGAAATCCGCATGCATGCATGCATGCATGCGTTGTGTGCACAGCCCACTGCACACGTACATAGTAATGGAAGAGCTGACCAATGCGGTCCTCTACCACAGCCACGTGTTGAAACACCCCGTGCAATGCTTGACTTGAGACGGGTGTGAAAGATGCATGTGCATGTAAGCAAGGCGCCTGCATGCATGCATGTGTGTGTGCAGTGCACACGTACATAGTAATGGGAGAGCTGCCCAATGCGGTCCTCCACTCCACCACAGCTACGTGCTGAAACACCCCGTGCAATGCTTGAGGCGAGTGAGATGGGCGCATGTGCGCATCGGAGGCGCATGCATGAATACGTGTGCACACACGTACATAGTAATGGAAGAGCTGTCCGATGCGGTCCTCTACCACAGCCACATGCTGAAACACCTCGCCCACGTTCCCGTCCTCTATAGCGCCAAACGCGCCCGCCACAAACGAGGACAGCTCCCGAAACGCGTCGGAGAACTCTGGAGGGGAGACGAGTGGGGGACGGAGAGGCAAGCGGAGAATCCGCAGAAGGGGAGTAAGGACGAGTGACTACCCATGTTCGGTTAGACGCATGTGCCTAGTCATACATCCACATACTCGTTTTGAGTCGACTCAAAACTACGCATGTTCGGTGAGACGCATGTGCCTAGTCATGCATCCACATACTCACCCATCCACCCATCCCTTCACCTGCGGCGCGCTGCTACATGTCGACGCAACACAGCGACCCCTCGTACAGTCCAAGCCAACACCCACCCCAGTAATCCATCCACAAACCCATCCACCCATCCCCACACCCATCCACCCAACCATTCACCTGCGGCGCGCTGCTGCGCGTTGGCGACGAGAAACAGCAGCCCCTCGTACAGTCTACGCCAAACCCGGTCATCCATCCACACACCTATCCACCCATCCACACACCCATTCATTCATACACACACCCATCCACCCATCCACACACCTACCCACCCATCCATTCACCTGAGGCGCGCTGCTGCGCGTTGGCGACGAGAAACAGCAGCCCCTCGTACAGTCTACGCCAAACCCAGTCATCCATCCACACACCTATCCACCCATCCACACACCCATTCATTCATACACACACCCATCCACACACCCATCCACCCATCCATTCACCTGCAGCGCGCTGCTGCGCGTTGGCGACGAGGAACAGCAGCCCCTCGTACTTGTCACGCATCTCGCGAACCTCCTGCGACAGGGACGGACGGGCGACAGCCGAAAGCAGGGTGACTTTCGAGGCGACTCAACAGTCAACCCTGTCAGGGGGGCTTACGGCCGACAGACGAAAGCAAGTACAGTCAAGGGTCTCATCGCCGGGGCTAAACGCAGAGTCAAGGTGAGTTCCGGAGAGTCAAGGTGAGTAAAGGCGGGACGTGAAACGGGAAAGAGCTGCATAATCCGCGAGACGGTGTGCCTCGGGGTGATTCTGGACGCGAGACGATGGAGCTGGGAAAGACGTGAAGAAGTCTAGGTGACTATTGAGTCGACTCAAAAGTGAGGACGGCGCTAAGTGAGAAGTGGGGAAATCTAGAAGCTTCTGCCATTGAGGAAACTCGTCGGGATGCGACCACGACGATACCAAACTATATCTAGATGCTGAGATATTTTCCTAGTCGACTTGAAATGCAGACTTACGCGGACGATTGAACTTTGACTCGACTCGAACGTCGCAACGACGCGAAAGGGTCGCAAGGACTCGAACGTCGCAAGGACGTGACTGACCTGCATGCCTCGGCGGAACTCGTCCTCTATCGACGCCGTCTGCGGCGTCAGCGGCGGGCCGAACGAGTCGCCGTCGAGCGCGTCGCTATCAATCGACTTTTCGAATCTTCCTGGAGCATCAACATCCACGTAAGGATGGCCTCTACCGCTCTCCGCTCCACCTTCCTGGGCCTTCCCCTTCCCTCCCATCAGCTTCTTCCACTTCATCTTCCTGCTGTAATTAGAGTTACCTCGATATTTTGTCTGGTATTTCTTTCGCTACAGGCGCACCAACTCTACACAACGACAACCTCGCGCTCAATTACACGGAAGGTATGAAATAAGTCAAACTGGGATTAATCTATCAACTACGAAGGCTAGGTGTACTTGAGTCTCTGATGCGTACATGGTATGATAAGGTGTGGTACGGAACGTCAGGGAACAGCAAAAACACAACAGAGCCGAGACTAGGCTGCTTGTCATTAGACGAAGGCGACGACCTACTCAACTCGACAACGCCGCCATGGCTCCTCGTCACATCACGTGAGTCTGTGGGCAACGTACAATACAGTGCACTCGTGTTACCAGCACTGTACATATTGTACTTTGCACTGTAGAGGTCGTCAAATTTGAAAAGTTTGGCTCGGAACGGAACGCAAACCCCAAGGCCATCAGCTGGCTTCCTCGATTTTCTCCCCATCTTCTGACGGAACTCCAGTTTGGTTTGCCTGTGATTGTACGGAGCGCCTGTGGGAATCTTGATTTCGGGGGGCAGGATCTGGTGCTGTAACGAGTGAGGGAGGGTGCGTGCGCGACAAATTTTGTACACACCGCCACGGAACCGTTGTTCAGTTCAGAGCCTGCGTGGCCGTGGAAGGTGATTGGTTTCCTGCAAACTGACGCTCTGCCACGACAGAAACGGAAAACCGACAACCAGTCAACCAAAAACAGTAGTGTTCCATTATCGTGTAGTCCGCTTGCCTAATGATACTTTATGAAAGAGTGGGGGTTTTCCTGTCAAAATCATTTCCTTGTCCATATTGTTATTTTTATCTCATGATAATGATGCTAGGAGGATGGTTAGCACTTTAATGAAAGTTTTTAGTAGAGCCTGTATATATATTATACATTATACAGCACATTGCATTCACATCATAACTGATGGTATACATTTCCAAGTTTGTACAAATGATGTATGGACTCTAAAACTACAGAAACAGTATACACACTTGATTGACATAACACATCTCTTTTCAGCGAGACACGCTATTTCATTCGAAAGTTCTCTCATCCGTGTGGATTTCAGTCGTTGACGTGGCGTCATTCTGTAGCCCATCGAATCCTTGATGTCATTCTTTGGCTCTGCCAGCAAGGACAGGCCACGCAGCAGTGAGGCATTGTCCCTCCTGCTGACATCAGCATCACGAGGGATCAGTTGGCGCGGATCCATCTGTGTCCATGTCAGCAAGCCCCTCGATTTTCGTTTCCTTGATTCGAGGATGGCACGGGGGAAACTTGAAGATGGTGAAAAGGGCATCAGGAAAATCTGCCTGAACAATGAAGCATGCGTGGTGTGGCCTGGCCCAGGCCCTGAAAATTGACCAGAAAACAGACATTCTGGCTGCTTGAACCAATTTCTCATCACGGCAGAGCAAGCTGGAAAGAACTGAGCTTGCCTGCGAGCATCACAAAAGCAAGACGAAGGCATTTCAAGCACATTCAAGAAACTTGGTTCAGTTCTTGCTTTAGGACTTGCTGGTGCAGCGGTGCTTCTAGGTGCTTGATTACTCCCGTGTTTGCTATTGCCAACAAAACATTTGTGAGCCATGGCGACTCAAGCTGCGACCCTTTGTGGAGCTAGTGCTCTTGTCGGAGCTGCTGTAGGCAAGGGAGTGAAGAAGCAAGCCGGGTTTTCCAAGAAGCTGAACCAGACGCGGCTCTCCGTGTCCGCGTCAGCGTCTTCGAAAGACAATGAGGTAGCTCTAATGTGACGATGCCGTCCCGATGCATATTTGTTGTGAATATAACACTTGCACTGGGATGTTCATGATGTGTTGGAATCTCGGGATGCCCATGACATGTCGGAATATCCGCGAACGGTCTTTAGTCACTGACTTCTCGACATCATGACTTCCTCCTTTCCGCCTCTTCTGCATTCCGTCGTCACAAATCCACCTTTCAACTCCTCGTTTCACAAAAATGTCTGGCAGTTATCAAATTATGCTCCATGTTGTTTCTCCCTGTCCAGCCAACACCCTCCAGCAACCTTTTCGCGAAGCTGGCCACCGGCCTGGCGGCAGTAGCGACGACTGTCTCCCTCACCGCTGGTCCGATGGATGCCGTTGCTCTCGCTGCCGGCAATCCCGCCATCAACCCGGCCATCCCTGACGTCGGCGTGCTTATCAAGGGTCAGCCAATCAAGGATGCGCGCGCGCTGCTCCGGTACGCGCTGCCTATCAACAACCAGGCGATTAAGGAGGTGCAGCAGCCGCTGGAAGCCATCACCGAGGACCTCAGGCTGCCTGGCTCGAAGGCATTCGACCCAGTCGAGAGGGTATGCACCACGGATTTCTACATTTTTTTTTGTTTGTAAGCCCAATCAAGTTCCCTCTTTCGTTATTACGCGAAGGGATGCGTCCAATCACTCGAATGTCCCCAGCTATTCGAAATTTTAGCAGGAGGCGTGCTAAGTGGCGTAACAAATCTGCGTTCCGTGTCCTCTCCCCGTTTCATTCGGTGTTCAGGAAACCATCCTCATTCCATTCCCCTTTTCCTGTGGCTCCCACTTTTCTCCCTCCCTTCCCCGCCCCCCCTCCCCCCCGCGCCCCTCTCCGCCTCTCCTGTTCCTTCTTTCTTCGCCTGTTCACCCGTGCGCAGAACATCCGTCAGGCGAACCGCGTGCTGAACCAGAGCAAGGACAAGATTCTGGCGGACGTGGCGGAGAAGAACAAGGCGGAGGGGCGCGAGCTGATAGAGAAGCTGCAGGACGGGCTGCAGGAGTTCCAGAAGTTCCTGGAGCGCCGCAACCGGGACAGCATCCAGCCCAAGCAGAAGGAGCTGCTGGCTATCGTCGGCGAGTGAGTGCGGGAGGAGGGAGAAGGTAATTTCCACAGGGGTGACGTCCAGGGAATGACGCGTTTTCGGTCGTGCGAATCAGTTTTTTTAACGAGACTGCGAGGAAGGAGGACATCCAGTTCAAGCGGAACTAATTGCCTGTCATAGTCGGCGAGTGAGTGACGGGTGGGTGGGAGTATGGGAGAAGAGAGTTCGGGTTGAGTGGCAAATTGGAGGGAAGGCGACAGGAAAGGGTCCTCCGGAATTTGACATTGTGGAACGCGATGGAAGCAGTTGTGTTCTCACAGCGTTGTCCTCGCACCCTCCCTTCAAGGGGATGGTGTGGTCATTCCAATATGACATCCCGGCGAAGCTAGAAGCGTCATCCCGTTGTGTACCCATTCGTCCATCCACCTGCAGCATTGAAGAGGCGATGGTGGGGGCCTTCCCATACCAGATCCCGGCGGAGTTCAAGGGGTACCCTGTGCTCAAGGGGCGCGCGAATGTAGAGATGACAGTGCGCCCGCTCAACAACCCTAACCTCCCCGAGGTCGTCTTTGAGGTCGTTGTCGACGGTTACAACGCGCCGGTTACCAGCGGTAACTTTGTGGACCTGGTGAAGAGGGGCTTTTATGACGGCATGGAGATTCAAAGAGGTGCGTAATGGTGTTCTACCGTGTGCCACCTTCTGTTCTTTCTCTCTCCAACGTCCCGTGGGAATTCAAGCTTGCAGCTTTGGATTACGAGTACCCTAACTTCCCTCTCCCCTCCCCCAACCCCCCACCCATTCCTACTCCCTTCGTGTGCTGCTTTCCTCGCAGCTGATGGCTTTGTGGTGCAGACTGGAGACCCTGAGGGGCCTGCAGAGGGCTTTGTGGATCCCGCCACTGGCAAGGAGCGCAGGATTCCCCTGGAGGTGTTCGTTGAGGGGGACAAGGAACCCGTGTACCATGACACCTTGGAGGTGAGACTTGAGACGTCTCAAAACAGGAGCGCAGGATTCCCCTGAAGGTGTTCGTAGAGGGTGACAAGGAGCCCGTGTACCATGACACCTTGGAGGTGAGTGAGACTTGCTTTGAAACAAGATGTGGGAAGCTGCAACACGTCAAGCACTATGGGCCATGGAACTACTCACATCTGACTCTCATTTCTGACCAAGTTGTACGACATGTTGAGTCAATACAGTTGTGTCACACCCCAAGACTTGCGGCCAATGCATTTTGCTAGCTCTTGTTTCAGCCTATCCGTTCGTAGCACTGTCCGTCCATAGCACTGTCCGTCCATAGCACTGTCCGTCCATAGCACTGTCCGTCCATAGCACTGTCCGTCCATAGCACTGTCCGTCCATAGCACTGTCCGTCCATAGCACTGTCCGTCCATAGCACTGTCCGTCCATAGCACTGTCCGTCCATAGCACTGTCCGTCCATAGCACTGTCCGTCCATAGCACTGTCCGTCCATAGCACTGTCCGTCCATAGCACTGTCCGTCCATAGCACTGTCCGTCCATAGCACTGTCCGTCCATAGCACTGTCTGTCCATAGCACTGTCCGTCCATGAGTCGTGCGTATTACAGACCCTGTCATTCTAACCCATCTTAACCCGTCTGCCTGTCTGATGTGCTGTAGGACCTGGGCAGGTACCGAGCTCTCCCCAAGATTCCATTCAACGCCTTCGGCACTATGGCCATGGCCCGAGAGGTATGTCCGATTCGCGAGTCTCGTGCAGTCGCACCTTTTCCTCCCTCTGTGCGGCTGCCAACATGTCAATGTCAGTTCTCAATGATTGTGAAATAAATCCTTTTAACCTTAGTACTCAGGTTGCAATCTCATTCTATCTCCAAGAAAGCCTGCTTTGGTTGGATGCTAATGGCCATCCTCTGCTTCTTTTCTGACTGAGCAACAGGAGTTTGACAACGACAGTGCCTCCAGCCAGATCTTCTGGCTGCTGAAGGAGAGCGAGCTGACCCCCAGCAGCGCCAACATTCTCGATGGCCGTTACGCTGTCTTTGGTTACATTGTGGAGAACGCCGACTTCCTTGCCGATCTTAAAGTGGGGGATGTCATCTCGAGTATGAAGGTCACCCAAGGGCTTGATAACCTGGAAATTTTGAAATAGAGTGGGGGAGGCATTCGAGTCCTGGTCCTGTATGAGGGCCAAGGAACCACACAATTTTGGCAGAGGTTTGTGTGCAGCGTTTGTGGAAAAGGCAACACCTGTTATCATCGGAAGTTCTCTGTTCAGGTTGGTGTGTTAGATCCCCAGTGTTTGTTTGTGTTGTGAGGTTTTGTATGTAATTTGGCTATTGATGCTTCACTCAATTTAAATTGTGGAATTGCTAAATACGGTATTGCACGTGTGAATGACTGGTCGATGTATTTCTTCATGAATACCCACCTAGATACTGTCCTTGCTAAATTTAAACCCTGTCCTTGTGTTCCCCTGGGTTCCCCTGGGTGACACTAACAACTGAGCCACTTCACAATGCCTCAGGTCAAGGAATTTTGTTGTCCATTGCTCAGGAAAGTGACCAATTTTTTTCCTCACTGATGAGTGACATATTTTTGCCTCACTAGAGCCGTTTGCACCACTTGCTCCTGCCATCCCAATGGGTCCGTACCAAACCAAATTGGACGGAGCGGCGTCAAACTTGAAACACGCCCTCCACCTCCTGTTTCAGGAATCAGGACTCAACACACCAATGCTGATTATGATCATACAGATAACAACTCCTTGTTTCTGCCTGCTCTTACTATGTTCAACCACCTCGCCATGCCGTCCGCCACTGTCGTCAGGCGAAATCCGGGCCAGGATTTCGCTGTCCGATCCGCCTAGTTTAATTTCCTTGAACGCTTCGTTGGCGTGCTTTCTCGCTAGTTCCACAACGGTTACCGACGAGTTTAGATTGACTAAGTATTGTTAGTTGCGAAATTGTTATTTAATTATTGCCTGATCTAAGGCGTACCTCGCATTGTCGTCTCCGTGGTTCTTATCGCGCATGGAAGCCATGGCGTCGCAGCGTACCATATCTTCTGACGACACGAAAGCGACTATGTCGTCTCAGCCTCACCCCTCGTCGAACCAACAAAATGCCGACTCTAATGGCTCGAATGTCTCGCGTGGCTTGAACCGCTCGAATGGCTCGAATGATTCGGACGGCTCTCCTATCGTCGTGCTCTCGTACCGACAAGCGGCGCGTCTCGTCGCCATGTCGACCATGGTTCTCGTGCTGCTGCTCGCCGCTGCCTTCCACCTCGGCCGAATGTCCATCGGAGAAATCGCAGCCGTTGATTCGTCACGCCTGAACAATCTCCCGGCAGTCTCGTTAAGCGATATCTCAACATTAATCTCCCCTGAAACCCCTCGGCGTCGCGTGCTGAGATCCCGCGGTCGTCCCAGACCGGCCAAACCCGCCAAAAAGCCTGCTCCCGCCGAGAAACCTGCTGCCGCCGAAAATCCTGCTCCCGCGGAAAAGCCTGCTCCCGCGGAAAAGCCTGCTCCCGCCAAAAGGCGTGCTCCCGCCAGAAAGCCTGCTCCTCGCAAGAAAAAGCCGCAAGCAGAGGTAAAGGTAGAGGTGAAGGAGGAGGCGAAAGAGGAGAGTAAGAGCAGCGGAGATATAAAGGAGGTGGTTGAAGTCCCTGCTGATCAGGCCGCTGCTGCGGACGACGATGCGGCAAAAGCGGCAGAAGCCGCGGCTGCTGCGGCTGCAGCTGCTGCGAATGGTGCTGGTGGTGAAGCAGGAGGGGGTGCTAATGGTGCTGAGGCAGGCGGATCAGCTGCTGCTGCCGCTGCTGATTCTGCTGGTGAGCCTGCCACGCCTGCTGCTACGGTTGAGGCTACTACTACTGCTGCTGCTGCGTCAGACGCCGCAAGCTCCACGTCCCCAGCCGCCACGTCAGCTCCTGCAGAGTCCACGTCAGCGCCTGCTGACGGAGCAGCGATCCCCGCAACGACGGTTGACCCAACGACGTACTACACGGCGGAGGGGTTGCAGCGGCTGCAGGACCCGTGTGGGGGAATTGGTGGTGCCAGCGGGAATCCCGGCAGCAGCAGCAACCGGAGGTGCTACAATCGGTGCCACAGGCGAACGAGGTCGGGGTTTTGTGTGAAGGAGCTGCTCTCACTTTATGACGAGGCGTACAGGTGAGTCCAACCAAACGTTTGGGTAGTTAAAATTCTATGCTTTCAAGTTAACTGCCATAGGCGAACGCGGTCGGGGTACTGCGTCGTCAAGGAGTTGTTTTTCGCTATATGACGAAGCGTAGAAGTGAGTCACTGAGTCCAACCAAACTTTCAGGTGGTGTAGTGTCTACACCTTCAAGTTGGACAACTGTTTCTCCCAGCCATCTCCCCCTTCCCTGCTCCCCAATCTCCCCTGCCTCCCCCCATTTTCCCTTCTTCACCCCCCCCCTTTCAGTCCCCTATGGCCGGCGCAGGTGGACCTGGTGGTGCGCAGCTACGTGTCGGACAACTTCTTCCTCACGGCTCCCCCTTCCGTGCTCCCCCATCGCCCCCATCACTCCCATCCCCCCATCTCCCCCAACTCCCCCCCGGCCCTCAGCCCTCTGTGGCCCGCAAAGGTGGACCTGGTGGTGCGCAGCTACGTGTCGGACAACTTCTTCCTCACGGCGTTCCTCTTTGCCAGCATCGAGCAGATGTGGCCAGCTGGCATTGGTGACGTCATCCTGGTGCTGGATGAGAGCGACCGCCACGTGGAAGACATCGTGCCGCCCTGGGTCAAGGTGGGTCAACGCCCTGGGTCAAGGTGAGTCAACGTGGGTCAAGGTGGGTCAAGGTGGATCAAGGTGGGTCAAAGTGCGTCAAAGTGCATCATGCTGGGTGTCCCTTGCACTCTCCCAGGGTCAAGGTGAGTCAACGCAGTCAATGCAGGGCAAGGTGGGTCTATGCAGTCCATTTTGGTCAAGGTCAACGGCCTCCCATGACAGGCCTTCAAGTCCTACCTTCCCTCCCCTGCCTTCCCCTCGCGTGTCCACCAGATCTATTACGAGAAGAACTACCTGGGCCTGACACCCAAGCTGGTGCAGCAGTGAAATTGTCGCTAAACCTTTTCCCACTCCCTTCCCTTTGTCGTGCTACCTTCCCCTGCCTTTCCCTCGAGTGCTCACCAGATCTACTATGAGAAGAACTACCTGGGCCTGACACCCAAGCTGGTGCAGCAGTGGAGCTACCTGTGGGCCGACAACTACACCACAGCACCATACATCGCCATCATAGACGATGACGTCATCTTCAACCTCAAGGTAAGCCCCTACTGGACTGCTGGAATTATGATCTCATGGACTGACAATTCCACCGCAACACTGTACATCGCCATCATAGACGATGACGTCATCTTCAACCTCAAGGTAAGTGTGCATGCTTGGTGCATTCGTGCATGTGTGTGCGCGCGCATCCGAGTCCTGACGTCTCCTCCCCACCCATTATTTTCTCTGCAACTACTCCATGAGTCATCTTTTGAGACGTCTCAAAAGAGTACTCTGCAACTACTCCATGAGTCATTCCTTCCCTCCCCCAAACCGCCACCCCTCGCCATCCCCCCCCGCTACCAGGTGACCCCCGGGCTGCTCTTCAATTTAACGGACGGCAAGCCGTTCATAATCGGCAGCCCCTGTTCCTCCTCCCTCCCTCTCTTCCCCCACCAGGTGACCCCCGGGCTGCTCTTCAATCTCACAGACGGCAAGCCGTTCATAATCGGCAGCAAGAGCACGCAGGGCAAGAACTGGCGCACCTCGTCCCGCTATTTCGTCGGCCCAGGCCGCTACTTCGCCAACTTCATGGTGCAGCTGCCCTTCGTCTTCCCGCGTGCCGTGCTGCCCAAGTTCCGTGCACACGTGGGGGAATTGCACGGGCGCAAGTTCGGTGGGAGCTTCGATGCTGCGTTCAAGTTTTGGTCGGTCCGCGGGCCCATTGCGGATCGCTCCCACGTCGCGCACACGACAGTTGGCAACTACATGTGGTTCTTTGCCAACGACTCGGTAAGGCCTGGCTTATGTGTGTGTGTGGGAGGGAGGGAGGGAGGGGGGGAGGGGGGGGGGGGGGGGGGGCGAGGGTGTGTGGGTGGGCGAGAGCATGTGGGGCAGATGCACGGGCGCAAGTTTGGCGGGAGCTTTGATGCTGCGTTCAAGTTCTGGTCGATCCGCGGTCCCATTGCGGACCGCTCGCACGTCGCACACACCACGCTCGGCAACTTCATGTGGTTCTTTGCCAATGACTCGGTAAGGCCTGATGACTGGTGTGGTGGGGTGGTTGGTGCTCTCTCTACATGCCGCTTGCTTCCTCTACTTCTCCGCTGCTCCTCGACTGCCGTTGCTCACATGTCGCACACACCACGCTCGGCAACTTCATGTGGTTCTTTGCCAATGACTCGGTAAGGCCTAGTTGCTTTGTTATAGGCGGCTGTTTTAAATTAATCACTCTTCTTCCATTGCTCTCACACCACCTCTGGTGTAATTTGATTGTGCCATTGATTCCTGCCTACCCCATCACAGGTGCATGGGGCCTTTGAGTGGGAGTCTCGGACGCCCATCCCGCTGGTCGGCGTGCACATCCCCCACACACACGAGTTCCGCAACGCCTCTGGCTCACTATGTAATGTGATTCAACTGAAAGTGCCTTTGTCTCTGATTCCTAATAACCCTATTGCAGGCGCACTGGGCGTTTGAGTGGGAGTCGCGAACGCCCATCCCGCGGGTTGGAGTGCACATCCCCCACACCCACGAGTTCCGCAACGCCTCTGGCTCTGCTGCGGGGCCCTCCCAACGACTCGTGAAGACTTATGTTGACTTGACCGGAACGTACGCGCATGAGGGGCTGTGTAACGCGTTCCCGGAGGGGCAATTGGCTCATTGCGAGGACGCGTCGAGGGAGCAGGGACAGATTTGGAGGTATGCGCTGAGCGGGAGTGAGTGGTCGATTTTCCAAAGCGGGACGGTGAATGGGACGGTGATGCATGATGATTACAAGTGGGAGTTGAAGTGTATGTATGAGCGCGTGGTGGGGGCGAAGACGGGCGAGTGGAAGGGGGATGTAGAGGGGAAGCGGCGGGAGCTGGTGAAGGAATTGACGAAAAACTGCATCGTTCCACACTCCAACAAGTACTGAGGAGTAAGAGCAGTGTAAGGTCAGTGAGGATTTTTTTCTATGGTCATATGGGTGGCATAAATCTTCTTTTCTTGGTTTGAAAATATTTTGCAATGCTGGATAAGAGTCGTGTCGTGATGTATCAATAATGTCCCAGTTGTTCACAATGGTATGCAAAATCGCTCTGTGCAAAATTTCCAAACCATTTGTTGATTTGGAACTTGGAAGGCAACCATAGCGCACGTGAGATTTCCTTAGGAGAATAGCTACTGTAGTTGTATCATCTGGCAACTTGATCCCGCTACGGGAGCACTGAAAGTAGGTCGTCGTCAAAACATTCTCGTCTTACAGCTTCTCTGAAAGGTTCTTTCTGGTGCGCAAAGGTCTAAAGCGGTGAAGCCCAATAACCGCTCCCAAACGTCGCTAACCGTATCCAGTCGTGTCAAATGAATCCTGAATGGAAAAAGCATAACACAGCCTACGGCCATGTTTGGGAGCAGCCATCCCATCAGCCATGGACGCAAGAAGCCGGAGATATAATTTCTCTTGTAGTCACTGTCCCGACTCGTAGTCTGACAAGTGGCACGAATAATCGGTCTCGCACCTCGTCGTTCACAGATGACTGTTCGTTAGTGCAACGCGTACGTCGTCAAATGCCGCGGCTCTCGCCACGCGTTCCCTGGGGTCTGGCAACGCCTAGATGACATTCCGCTTACAATGATTGCTGTCTGTCAAGTCTTCCCTGGGGTGTGGCAAGAAAACGAGCAGTCCCTTATTCGCAGCTCGTGGCAATCGCAAACACAGGGGGATCGTTTCCCGTTCCCGCGTTAAAGCAGATTGCCACGCCTGGATGGCTTTGGACCTTTGAGGTAATTCAGAAGGCTTCTCGCGTTAGACAAGGGATGAAGCGACTGATTGACGACCATCGTCATGACGACGCTACTAACGACGCTCCTCTCGAGGCCTTCCAGTTTTCGCAACCCGCAAGCTCCAACCGTTCCCACCATTGCCATCATTCCGACCATTCCGACTGTTCCAAGCGCTGTCCGGCTGAAGTGACTTCTGATTCCAGCCCGTGTGATCCGTCTCTTCGGGCTGTGATCATTTCGCGCTCACAAGCAGCGCGTCTGGTTGTCGGCTCCGCCGTAATTCTTATGATCCTTCTTTCGCTTGCTTTCCAGCTCGGTCGAATCTCGTCGTCGCGTCAGCCACCACTGATCGATAATAATCATGATAATTTTTTGTCAGGCTTCAAGAAGCTTACTCGGAACAGACTGTCCGCAATGACGTTTTCCGTCAATTCATCTCGACGTCGCATCCTCGTCTCTGACCCAGCGGAAGCCACGTCACCTGAAACCCCATGGGAATTTGTCGCTGCAGTGAATTTGTCGCAAAACTCACCACTCGCAGACGGCGGTTCTGCATTGCTAACGGACACGTCAGCAGAGAATAAATCAGACAAATCTCGCGAAACTGACGAATCTGACTTTTGGAATGAGCTTGCAGCTGACACATTTGACGCCGAAACCTCGATCCTGAACACTACAGGTTCGAACCTTGTAACGAAGGTAGCAGATGGAGTTTCAGAGGGGAGTGACGATCGCGGTTCAGGTGACAATAGCGAGAGTCGAGGTGAGAGTGACGAGAGGTACTATACGGCGGATGGGTTGGAGCGGCTGCAAGATCCGCGTGGGGGGATCGGTGGAAGCAGCGACAATGGCAGGAACAGCAGTCACAGTGGCAGCAATGGCAGCAGCAGCAGCAGCAGCAGTAGGTGCTACAATCGGAGGTGCCACAGGCGAACGAAATCGGGGTATTGTGTGAAGGAGCTCCTGTCGCTATATGACGAAGCTTACCGCCCGCTGTGGCCCGCAAAGGTGGACCTGGTGGTGCGCAGCTACGTGTCGGACAACTTCTTCCTCACGGCGTTCCTCTTTGCCAGCATCGAGCAGATGTGGCCAGCTGGCATTGGTGACGTCATCCTGGTGCTGGATGAGAGCGACCGCCACGTGGAGGACATTGTGCCGCCCTGGGTCAAGGTGAGTCAATGCGGGTCAACGTGGGTCCATCCGAGCAATTAGTCTGTTATCACCGCACTTTTTTTTTTTTTTTTTTTTTTTTTTTGCATTTTTTCACAATTTCGTTTTGTTCTTCTTTCACGTTTTCCCCAGTCAGATTTACTATGAGAAGAACTTTCTGGATTTGCCCGGGAAAATACTTCAGCAGTGGAGCTACCTGTGGGCCGACAACTACACCACCGCACCATACATTGCCATCATAGATGATGACGTCATCTTCAACCTAAAGGTGAGCCCCCTATGGTTTTGTTGGAAGTAATGAGTGCCCTTATGAACTGACTACTTCAGCACAGCACCATGGAGCATCATTATAGTTGATGCCTCGGTCAATCTCCAAGTCATGAGTTGGCTCAACAACCGACTGATAATCTGGGCCAACATTTTGCTCATTTTGTGGCTCAATGGCTGGCTGAATGTCTGGCTCCTTCCAGTTCACCCCAAGCCTGCTGTTCAACCTGGCAGGCAGCACGCCGTACACTATGGGCGTGTCCCTGGGTGGTGGCAGGGCCACTGTAGCAGGCACTGTTGGTGGCATGCGGGAAAACCGCATGCCACCAACATTTTGCCCGAGGCGCGCGCGACACGAATTTCGTGGCATTTTGGGGACATTGCCCAATCACGCACCTGTATTTGCGCGCCAGTTTCCTGACACCAACCTGACGTTTTATGTGTTCGTGGCAGGCTGCCATCTACAGTGCCCCTGCCACCACCCAGGGACACGCCCTATCAGCAGCAAGGACAGACAGCATCACCTGATAGCGCCGTACACTATCAGCAGCAAGGACAGACAGCAGAGGCAGCTGGACGCGCCTAAGAGTCGCTGTTTCCCTCATCACACCCCACCCATCACCTCTCAACCACACCCCCCCCTACAGGTGACCCCAGGGCTGCTGTTCAACCTGACGGACAGCTTGCCATACGTGATCAACAGCAAGAACACGCAGTCAGACAACTGGAAGCCGTTCCATTCACCCCTCCCAACACCTTCAACCACCGCCCTCCCAGGTGACTCCAGGACTGCTGTTCAACCTGACAAACGGCAAGCCGTACGTGATTGGCAGCAAGAACACGCAGTCAGGCAACTGGAAGCCGTTCCATTCACCCCTCCCAACATCTTCAACCACCGCCCTCCCAGGTCACCCCAGGACTGCTGTTCAACCTGACCAATGGCAAGCCGTACGTGATCGGCAGCAAGAACACGCAGTCAGACAACTGGAAGCCGTCCTCCTACTACTTTGTCGGCCGCTACCACGCCAACTACATGGTGCAGCTGCCCTTTGTCTTCCCAAGATCCGTGCTGCCGGGGTTCAGAAGGAGGGCGGCCAAGCGGCACAAGAAGGATTTTAACGCGGCTGTCAAGTATTTTGCAGATCACGGGCCATCCTTTGCCAAGTGAGAGCTCTGCACCAAGTAGACTAGGATATGATTTCTATTATTTTCTTGTTTTCTTTATTTTCTTTTCTGCTTTCAGTTTCGTTTTCTGGCGTTTCTTATCTTCGCCCCCCACTCCCCCTTCCTTCAATCTCTTGTCTCGTTTTCCGTTATGTTCTCCTGTTTCTGCCCAACACCTCTACATGTTTCCTTTATTTCAGGACACAGATAGCGCACACAACACTCGGCAACTACATGTGGTTCTTTGCCAATGACTCTGTAAGTGCTGACTTGCTCCTTCCTTGGTGATGGGAAACGAAACGAACACATCCATGCCTTGCATGCCATGCCACACACATCCATGCCAAACCAAACACATGCAGACACTTTCACCCACCTACTTTTCCCTTCTTTACGTCGTTTTCTCCCACTCTTTGCCCCCTTCCGTATGCCCCTTCCAACGCCTCCTTCCAAAGCTCAACTTTGTGTAAACATTTCCACTCTTTCTATTCTTCCTTCTTTGATCAGGTTCACTGGGTGCTTGAGTGGACGCCAGTTACACCGTTACCACGAGTGGGTGTGCATATCCCTTACACAATGAAGTTTCAAAACATCACAGGCCATTCGGGCCCAGAGCACCGGTTGGCCAAGGCATATGTTGATGTTGTGGGTTTCTATGCACACGAAGGCATGTGCCATGCTTTTCCTGAAGGGAAATTGAGAGATTGCGAGGATGTTGCAGGGCCGCAGGACCAGATATGGAGGTATGCTATGGATTGGGATGACTGGCCCATGATACGAAAGCATGTGCAGGGCGCAAAGGTTTTGTATGATCGGTACCAGTGGGAACTACAGTGTTTGTATAGCCAGGTTGTGTTAGCAAGGACACATGATTGGAGGGATGAGGCGGAGACTAAGCGCAAGATGTTGGTGGAGGAGCTGAGAAAGATTTGTATTCCGTCGAATAGTAATGCGTAGTTACTTCTCTGATGGCTGACTTTGCTAGCGGGTAGCATGTAGCAAAGGCTTGAGGAAGCAGGGTGCTCCAACAACCAGCATCCCTGTTTCACTTCACCCCATTTTCATTTGTAATATGGTGGAGTGATTTCTACCTCAAAGGAATCAGTCACGTTTGTAACGTACAGTAAAAACGCGTTTCTGGAAACAGTTATGCCTTCCCCGAATGCTAAAATCAAACCTGTCTCCGGAACGCAGGTAGACTGCCATCGTCACACACGCCGTTTTCCATGTTGCTTGCCGGTTACCCGTTGACTGTTGACCCCGTCAACATCAGCTGAGCCAGGTTCAAAACGGAGAATTTTGCGAGCCGGGCAGGTACAATGGCAGAATGTGATGTGACTTCTTGTTCAATCAAAGAGACGTAAAACCTTGGCTTCTGACCTGGAGGACTTTCAGGTGCCTTCCCTGGGTGACCCCATTCGCAGGTGCTACAGCGTAACCCATCGCAAGGGCTGGCCGACCAACACCATAACCGGGGCAGAAAAAGTCGGCCCGTAACTGGGGCAGGAATCAGTAAGGATGACGAGAGTCAAACAACTTCGAAGGTGTTGTTTGAACCTTACTAAAGGCGTCACCTCCTTTGAGAAAACCCCAATAACTTAGTCAATATAAGGATACACGATTGTTTTTTAGTCTAGAAGCCATCAGGTTCCAGTCAGCCTGAACCAGCAAATGTTTCTTAGCAGCCTGCCTCGCCCTCCCCAACCACCAGTCATGCCACATCCATCACCATCATCCCCTCGTGGGGGGGAGGGCTCGATGTTCTGGTTGGTTGCGATCCCATCGTCGACATAAATTCGCCACAGCCAATCACGGGCCCAAGTTTTCAAGATCGCAGCTTCGTAGTTCCCAAGTTTTCCCGCTTCCCGGCTTCCTGCTTCCTCGGCTCGGCTACCTTTCATTGAGATCTCCTGTCAACGTCGAACACTCTTATAGATTTCAGTCTGCAGTCAAAGTTTCGACCCAGCTCGCCAATTCCTACTCAAGCAGTGCAGGTGCTGGTCTGTTGTGAAGCACTTCTCAACACCGATACGCGGTGATCCAGACATTACAGGAAAAAAAAGGTTGATTACGATATGGAATTTCCGACTCAGTTGTTGCATAGCTGTATGCGATTGTGACGTCGAGACCTCCATCTGGGACTGGGCTTTCTTGTTATCGCGCCTTGTTTTCTCTCGCTAAGACAGCTCGAAAGACCGACAACAGGCCGACCGCGAACAGACTGAAGGAGCATTGTGCTGGAAAGATCATCCTGAACAGCTGCTTTGATTTAGCTCAACATTTCGCTCCATAGCTTACGAGCCGTCTCCCTTCAGATGGCGTTCGATACTATGAGAAAAACGGATTCCGTCGCCATTGCTTCTCCTAAGCAACCGAAAGACTTCCTACATAAATCCCACGCCTCCCCATTTCTCATCTTAACTCGTCGACAAGCACTATGCCTCGGTCTAATGTCCGGAATCACCCTCGTCGTCCTCCTCGCAATCGCCAACACCCTCGGCCGAGTCAGCTCAATCGGCGGTAACTCGCTATTAGACCGGCCGTTCAACTCGCTCTTAACGGATCGTGACTATGCCGACGCTGATGTTAAAGCGGGGATGTACGGCTCTACAGACGGCTTTTCCGACGTGGAAGGGTCGTCGGAGAAAAGCTCTGGAGGGATGCGGGTGGGAATTGAAACGCAGATCGATCCGTGCGGAGGGATTGGTCTAAGTCCCGGGAACGACAACTGCTTTGGATCGTGTAAACGTCGGGCCAAGTCGGGTCACTGCGTGAAGGAGCTGTTCAAGCTTTATGACGACGCCTACAAGTAAGTCGTTGTCCTCTTTTTTTCTTTCCCTTTTTCTTCCCTTATTTCTTTTTTCTCCCCTGCTTTCTTTATGACAGACCGTGTTTTTCAGTTCTCACGAGCAAGCTCGCTCATTCGTATGCTCAGGATGAGCTCACGTTCAGCTGTGACGTATACTATCATCTTGCTCAACAAGAAGCCTAAATTCCTCGACATTCTCTTTCTTCCCCCCATCTTCCCCCTTCCCCACGTCATCCCAATAAAACAGGCCGCTGTGGCCGGCGCGAGTGGACCTGCTGATTCGCAGCTACGTGTCGGACACGTTTTTTTTGCTGGAGATGCTGTTCGACAGCATCGAGCAGATGTGGCCACGTGGCATCGGTGACGTCATCCTGGTGCTGGACGAGGACAACCAGATTGTGGAGGACATCGTGCCCACGTGGATCAAGGTGAGTGCATGGGAGTCAACGGAAAGAACGGGAGTGAATGGGAGTCAACGGGAGTCAACGAGAGTGAATGAGAGTCAACGGGAGTGAATGGGAGTCAACGGGAGAGTGGATTAATGGAAGTCAACGGAAATCAACGGGGTCAATGGAGGTCACACTTACAAAAGTAACAGCGCTGCAGAAAGCCACCACATTTCCAATCACCCCAAAGCCCTCTTAGCGAAGCAAAACTTGTAGCTAATGCGCTGGATCCCAGACAAGCGACAATGCGTAATTCATAATGGTTTCATATTCTGGTTGGCGAGGGATAGACGTGGCTATTGTGTGAAAACACGAGAGGATCCAAGAGAAATTGGGGTGTCAAAGAGTGAATTGAGGCATACTACCAACACCTCGTTGCGCGTTTGACGTCATGCCTTGTTTAAAACCTTCGCTGCCCCAACCTTCGCTGCCCCAACCTTCGCTGCCCCGCTTGCACATTGTTTCCTCGAATAATCTCCAGGTGTACTACGAGAAGAACTATCTGAAGCTTCCTGGAAAGATCCTTCAGCAGTGGAGCTACCTGTGGGCCGACAACTACACCACGGCGCCCTATATCGCCATCATAGATGATGACGTCATCTTCAACCTCAAGGTGAGCTCCGGTGTGAAAATATGTAGAAAGAGACTCATGCCCTGCCCTCATCAATTTGAACCTTACAGACGGTAATCCCTATGTCATCAGCAGCTGGCAGAAGCAAACGAACCACTGACGCTGGGTGTCTTTCTGAGAATTCTCAAAAACCCTTTGCACTGGGTGCCTTCCCAAGCACTATATGGCCCCAACCCAGCACCTTCTCCCACTCTCCCCATCCCCAAGCTGTTCTTCAACCTGACACATGCCAAGCCGCCCTTCATTCATGGTGCTCCTACCGTTCGACCTCCCTACCCATCCCTACCCATCCTTACCCACCCCTACCCATCCCTACCCATACCTACCCATCCTCGCCCACCCTATCCAACACTCCCCCACCCCAGGTGACTCCCGGTCTGCTGTTCAATCTAACAGACGGCAAGCCGTACGTGATAGGCAGCCGGCAGAAGCAGATGAACCACTGGGTGCCCTCAACGCACTACTTCGTGGGCAAGCCCTACTACTTCGCCAACTTCATGGTGCAGCTGCCCTTTGTCTTCCCCCGCGATGTGCTGCCCAAGTTCCGAGACCACGTCACGCGCATCCGCGACGGCAAGTTCGCCAGCTTTGATGCGGCCTTCCAGAACTTTGCGCGGCATGGGCCCAAGTTCGAGAGGTGCGTGGGTAGGGTGGGTCCTGGGGGAGAAAGGTTTGATTCTGCCTAAGAAAAACGTCGACTCGGGGTTCTTGAACTTTGCACGGGCCCAAGTTTGAGAGGTGGGTCGGGTGTTGAGGCTTCTGAGAGAATCCCAACAGTCCACCTCAAACCGAAGTCTTGCACACCTGTCGTGCTGAAGCTGGAAAGCTAGTTTAGGTTTGGAGACGTCTGAGAGTCTTGCACGTGGGCACAGGCGGCACGTGAGAGGTTCGTGGATTAAGGGAGCAGAGTGGGGTGTGCCATGCTTTTGATGCGTGCTGGCCAAACAAATAGCGCTGGCCAAACAAATAGCGCTGGCCAAACAAATAGCGCTGGCCAAACAAATAGCGCTGGCCAAATCTTGAGTTTGCCATGCTTCCAGTGCTTGGTAGAGGATGGCCCAGGTGAGTTTGAGCAGCAGCTACAGGCTGCAGTATTGTCGGGTCAGGTCGAGGGTGCATGAATTGGAGGAGAGGCACGTGCATCAGAGTTTGAGGAGAACCCCAACAGGCTTAAAGAGATATCATTGAACCAACTGCTCTGCCCAGCTGTGCACACCATTCTGACTGAGAGGTTGCTCCCTGCCCGGGCTCATGCTTTTCTTGCGCCGACTGTGTTTCTTCCCGCTTCCCTCCTTGTGCTGAGCAGGACGCAAATTGCCCACACAACTCTGGGCAATTTCATGTGGGCCTTCACACAGGACGAGGTGAGCTGAGAGGCTTATGGGATTCAATCTTGTGACGAGAGACTATGGTTTGGATGTGGTGAAGTGGACAAGGCTTAGGACTATACTTTCTCATGCCATGCCATGCTGTGCCGTGCCATGCCATGCCATGCTGACTCATGCCATGCCATGCCACGCCATACGATACCATACTAAAGCACGCCATCCCGTGCGTCGCTCTAGCCTGGCACCTACACAATCTGCATTTTCACAGACTTTCCCTTGCCTCTCTCACCTCTATCTCTTCCTCTCCCCTCCCATTCTCCCATCACCGTCCCTCTGTCGCCTCCCATACATATCACCATCAGCAACTGCACTGAGCACTAGAATGGACGAACCACAAACCCATTTTATGCATGCATATGAACATGCCATACTCTGCTTATCATGCTTCCCTCACCTTGCCTCCCCTCTCCCCCAATCCACACTGGGCGTCAGAGTGGGCCAACCACGTTTCCATTTTGTGTGTGGGCGTGCACATGCCCTTCCCTCAACTCAAACTCCTCAACTCCTCCGTCTTCCCCTCGACCCACAGGTGCACTGGGCGCTAGAGTGGACCAACCACGTGCCCATCCCGCGGGTGGGTGTGCACATGTCCTACTCACAGCCCTTCCGCACAGCCACCAACAACAGCGACACCGCCCCCCGCGTCGTCAAGATCTACGTGGCTGGCTCTTGCAGGGTACTACTCCCACGAGGCTGAGGGCTCTGTGCCGTGCGCCCACATAACCCACGCTTCTTCTCGTGCTTCCTCTCCCCTCACTCTCCTCTCCTCTCCCCCACCCCTCCTCTCCCCCCACCCACAGGTGCACTGGGCGCTAGAGTGGACCAACCACGTGACCATCCCCCTTGTGGGTGTGCACATGTCTTACTCTACTCTGCTCACCCCACCTCCCTCAACTCCTCCGTCTTCCCCTCAACTTACAGGTGCACTGGGCGCTAGAGTGGACCAACCACGTGCCCATCCCCCGTGTGGGTGTGCACATGTCCTACTCCCAGCCCTTCCGCACAGCCACCAACAACAGCGACAACGCACCCCGCGTTGTCAAGATCTACGTGGCTCTAGCAGGGTACTACTCCCACGAGGCCCTATGCCACGCGTTTCCCAAGGGCGCGCTCGATCGGTGCGGCGATGTGTTGAAGTACGAGCAGCGGCAGATCTGGCAATATGTTATGGATTGGTATGATTGGCCGGCGATCAAGCACAAGAGGAGGAACGCGACGTTTGTGTATGATTTGTATAAGCGCGAGCTGGTGTGCATGTATGGGAAGGTGGTGGATGCGCGCACTAACGAGTGGACGGATCATATTATAGCGAGGCGGAGGGAGCTAGTGAATGGGATGACGAGAGACTGTGCTACACCTCACTCTAATTAAAGCTACAGGGTGTGTGGTTACATGCTACGGTAATGCCTTCTCGATAAATTAATGTTCCGAGTGTACCTACCCAGGTGTTGATTTGTGCAATCAGTAACCCAGTACCAGCGTTTTACTGAAGTCTAACCAATTTGGAGAGCTCATAACATTTTGCACTATTGATATGCTGTTGCTGAGTCAGAAGTCTGCACGTAACATTTGCAGCTGTGTTTTGAGACATTCTATATAACCAATTTTGTATCAGTAAGTCTGATAATATACCAACAGTATGTTACGACATGGTAGTTCAGCCAACCATTAGCACACAGCCGAACTTCGTTATCCACAGCTACCCTGCTCCCATTCCCCACTAGCCCTTCTTTGACTGCACCTTTCTGTTCTGCTGTCCCTGCTTCTTCTTCTGTGCGACCTTCCCTTGCACCTGCTTCACCTGAGCTGCACCCTTCCCTTGCATTTTGTTCGTCCCCCCTTTCTGCTGCACTTTCTTCAGCTGTGCTGCACCCTGCGCCTTACCTTTCTCCGCTGCAGCTTGCACAGTTGTCTTCGCTTCATTCCCTTTCCTCTTCAGCCACGCCCAGAAACCTTCCCGGTTCTTCCTTTTCCTTTTTGATTGGCTGCCTCCCCAATCCCCTCCACTCCCCACTGCATTTCCTCCCCGCTTGCCGCCACCTGTCCCAGACGTCCCTGAGGGGTCGGCAGGAGTGAGATTCGGTTCTGCGACCGTGCGAGTGGTAAGAGCAGACCCTGATTTAGAACCACCCCCCTTACTGCCACTGCTGCCCGTCGGGCTACTCTGAGAACCAACCAAGGAGGTTCCTGTGCCAGGACCAGTGCCGCTGTTTCCCCCTGAAGAATCACCTGAGGCATCACCAGAACCATCAGCTGAAGCATCGCCTGACGGATCACCTGCAGCGTCACCTGAGGCATCACCTGAGTTATCACCTGAGGTTTCACCTGAGGTTCCACCTGAGGTATCCCCTCCTCCGCCACTACCTGCTGCTCCGCTCGCTGCAGCTCCTCCTGCCCCTGGCACAACCCCTGGGTTCACCTTCTTCTTTCTCGCACTTCCCCCCTTTATAAGCTTCTTCGCTATCCCTCCAATGGCCTTTGCTGCGCCATTAGCTGCTTGGTTAACAGCACCCTGTGCGTTGCCGATCGCCTTGCTTACAGAACCCGCAACAGGAAGCACCTTAGGAGGAACCTGCTTGGGTGTGGGAGGTACAGGTGTAGTAGTGTCCGTTCCTCCTGTTCCCGTTCCCGTTCCCGATCCCGTTCCCGTTCCCGTTACATCTCCAGATGATCCCTCCGAGGCTCCAGCCGTATCCTCTCCACTGGTGCCATCTCCAGAAGGGGTCGTGTCAACTCCAGGAGAGGTCGTGTCAACTCCAGGAGAGGTCGTGTCAACTTGAGAAGAATCCGTACTGCCACTGCTGTCGCTCCCACCCGAGCCACTGCAGTCCGTTTCATCACTCCCATCGCTGCAATCCTCCACACCGTTACACTTGAGCGTTTCAGCTATGCACTGTACCACATTCCCACACTTCCAGTACCCATCCGGACACTCGTACACCGCACAGTAATCCTGATCCTCATCCGAAGAAAACAACCCCCCACTCGCTCCTCCTCCCAATTCTCCTCCTCCTCCCCCTCCCCCTCCGGTCCCTGCTCCGCCTGAAACCGAGGGACAATCAGCCACGCCATCGCACACCATGCCTGAACCGCAGGTTTGGCTGTCGGGGCAGAGCACTTGGTTCGGGGAGTTCGGGCAGGTGGCTTTGCTGTTGAAGTCAACACAGAAGCCCGGCCACTCGTCGGCGCCAAAGGGGCAGTCGGTTGAACCGTCACACGCTGCAGCAGGGTCGATGCACCATAGCTTGTCCGATATGGTTGTGACTGGACATGCGATCTGGTGGGAGGGAGGGGAGGGTGAGGGGAGAGCAGGAGGAAGGATAGAATTGAGTGAGAAACGGGAGAGAAGAGAGAGGCAAAGAGGTGCCGTCACACACTGCAGGTGGCTTTGCTGTTGAAGTCCACACAGAATCCCGGCCACTCGTCGGCGCCAAAGGGGCAGTCAGTCGAACCGTCACACGCTGCAGCAGGGTCGATGCACCATAGCTATGGTTGTCACTGGACAGGCAATCTGGAATGAGAGTTAGGGGGTGGATGGGAATGGAGGGAATTGAGTGAGGAAAGGGAGATGAACGAGTGTGTTGTCACATGCTGCAGCAGGGTCGATGCACCAGAGCTTGTCTGATATGGTTGTGACTGGCCAGGCGATCTGGTGGGTGTGGGAGGAGAGCAGGAAAGAGAGAATTGAGTGAGAAGCGGGAGGGGAGTGTGTCATTACACACTGTAGCAGGGTCGAAACACACGAGCCGTTATAATAGTGTCAGGACAGGGCATCTGACATGAGAGAAGGGAAGGGGATGGGAGAGGAGGAGGGCTAGGAAGGGAAGGAGAGGAAGGAGGGAGAGAGGCCACTCAATACCCAAGACACCACAAACCTACTTGCTCCCCTCACTGCCTTACCATGTCAGGCGGACATCCGTCCTCGTATCCCCCGCACTCCCACGGAAGCTCGTCGCTCTCATCAATCCCTCACGTCAGCACAACCCCCCAAGAAACCTGCAAGCCATAATTACCATGTCAGGCGGACAGCCGTCCTCGTATCCTCCGCACTCCCACGACAACTCGTCGCTCTCGTTACCACCTCTCCCCGCACCTCATCCCCATTCACCCCTCTGCCCGTTTACCCGTGTCCCTTACCATGTCAGGCGGACAGCCGTCCTCGTATCCTCCGCACTCCCATGGCAGCTCGTCGCTCTCGTCGTTGCAATCCGCAGTTCCGTCGCACAATTGATCGCTGCTCACGCATTGATCCCAGGATGCACAGTACCACTGGCGGAGGGGAGGGAGAGATGAGGGAAGGTGGGTGGGGAAAGAGAGAAGAAGACTGTAAGGTTAGGGAGGGGGACAGCGGGGTCGCACAACTGATCACTGCTCACGCACCGGTGCAGTAGCACTGGCGGAAGAGGAGACGCGGGATGCGGAAGAGGGAGGGGAGGAGAGACGAAGCAAGAGAGGGAGTCGCATGTGTGGACGGCGATAATGAGAGGCAGGGATGACGCAAGACGGCAGGGATGACGCGACACGGCAGGGATGACGCGAGATGGCTGCGGGTGACTCGCCGAGATGTTATTCTGAGCGCACGAGACTGGCAGATGAGGACGAGAGAGAAGGAGAGGCAGTCGCATGTACTGTGGGCAAAAATAGACGGCAGATGATACGAGACGGCAGGGAGGACATGAGACGGCTGCGGGTGACTCACCGAGTTGTCGTTCTGAGCGCACGAGACTGGGAGGTCCTGCTGCTTCAGCCACGACAGTTGCGCGCACTGCCATGTGGAGTAATACGTTATGCGGGGCAGGAGGGGAAGGAGGGAGCAGGGACAGGAGAGAGGAGGATCGTTACACACGCGGACGAGACTCGAATTCCTGCTACTGCGCGCACAGCCATGGCGGGTGTTGGGAGGAGTGTGGAGTGAGCGAGGTGGACGGAGAGAGATGGGGCGCTTTTGAGAATTCTTAAAACGAGCGACGGAGTCGGGCACGAGGAGAATGCGGAAGCGTAATATCAGCCTTCACACTCCCCGCCAAAGTATTCACCCCCACCCCATTCCGTCCCCAATCCCCCTGGTGCCCCAGCCCCCCTTCGCTTTCCCCTCCCACACACACGCTCACGCCCGCACGCTCACGAGCGTACCTGAACGAGCGACGGCAGCAGCAGCAAGAGCACGGCAACACAGGGAGCTCGACTCTGCGACGCGTCGCGTCGAGTCGCAGCCATCACGCCCGGCGATGTGACACAGGTATTAGTTTCTGAGAATTCTCAGAACTCGTTATCGGCGCGGTTCGGCGAAGTTGCGGCGTGGGAGCGAGGCTTGGTGGACGGGGGTATAGAGTGGTGGCGCGCGGTGCCGCTTGGAGTGCAGCTGAGCACCGTTGCTCGCGGCGGAACGCTGCTTCCAAGGTCCCGCTCTCACTCGCCCTCTCGTGCTATATCGCTCTCTCCGTCTCCTATCTCAGTTTCGAGAATTCGCGTGAAACAGACTGCGAGGACGTGCATTGTATCATTGTATCATCGTCGGCTATCCTCACACATCCTCGCAGCTCATCGCAAATTCCTTCCGCAGGGACCCTCACCCCCGTGACCACTGAGAGTCGAGAGAACTGCTCTTGTCGGGTTGGGGCGCACTTCTGGCGGCGCCAGCGGGCCACTGGCAAGCCAGCGGCGCTTGGCATTGGGGTGAGAAGCCCCTCAGATGTACTATCATCACGGGCATCACTTGCTCCCAGTGGCATTCTTTGCTCCCAATGACGGACATCGCCGCTCAATCCGGTCCAATGCATTTCTCGTTTGCTGGCTTGTTCTCACGCGATCTTGCGCCCTCGCGCCGATGCTTTCCGCCTATCCTCTCCTCCTCAGTCGTTTTGATACGGTACTGTACGCGCTCAACAGCTCGAAGCTCCCTGGACCGCACACTCTGATAAGAGCTTCGAGTCGCGAATAGTGACAGATTCTCGTTGTACGGTTGCACTGTTCGATAAGCATTAGAGGCTAGGAACGTTAGCCAGATATGTAGAGTGCTCGCAGCTTCGGTTTTAGGTATGCCAAGCAGCGACCCGAGACAGGCACGGTATTCCGAGCAGCGAATCCCAACGCAGAGAATTCGAAAATAATTTTGGTCGTCGGTGTAGACTGCCATTCGTGTGGGTTTGGGGTGTTTCGGTTTAGTTTGGTACATGCTGTTGTGGGTCGGTGACTGATGGTGGAAGTGCGGAGTGGAGGTGTATGTAGATACACGTATGGGCAGTCTTGCCCACTAGGCTTGACGTGGCGGCGACTCCTATCAACTCCTGACTCTTTGCTTGGAATTCTTACCAGGTACACTCTGCTGTTCCATTCTGTTGCGCGCCTCGCTTCACACAAAAATCTCTCAGGTTTCCAGGTGATTAACAGCTGAACGAATCAGAATTGCTGCCAAGCCGCTGGTCCTGGCTCGACCGAACCACTCTGATCAACTCTCACATTCGTTGTTTTTGGGCACGGTACTATACAGCGCCTTGACGAGTGGTTGTTGTGTTTGTGTGGTTGGTGGGCTGCGTTGACAGGACTTGCATAAAAGTCGAGCCGCAGAGAGATATTCAGGTGGCCTTTCAGGTGGGTGTCACAGTTTGAACTCGATAGAACTCAGTACTTGTCCGCGTTATATACACGAAGTGGTCGTGCGGTGCTCGCGCATCACTTAGAGAACCGCAGGCGCACATCACTAATTGCTGACTAGAATGAACCAATATAGAATGCCAAGGCATGCCCCATACTAGCACATCCCTTACAAGTTACTCCGTCCTCTTCACCCACACCAATCTTGATGATCTAGGTGTTGCCCGGCGACACTTTCTACAAATCCAGCCTAGTCTCGATACTCAACTTGAAGAACATCGTGCTGCAACTTGGGACATCGTGCTAGAACCCTCTTGCTAGCCCAAGTGCCCTGCCATCAAGATTACTACTCTTGTGCAACTTGGGCTGCGGGCTTTAACAAATGCAGTACCCTAGCATATGTTACAAGTTACAACCTATCGTCAATCATTATGTTAACCCGTCCTACACATCATACATGTTGCAGCATGTGAGATTACCCAACTTCTCTAGTCCAATCAACCTTTCCTTGACCTCTGGTGGTTCTTTGCCTTCTGCTTCTGTCCCCCTTTCTTCACATCCTTCTTCTTTCCTTTCTTCGCCTTACTCTGCGTGTTCATCTTGCCCTTCCCACTCAGGACGACACCTGAGGCAGCACCTGAACCCGCAGCAACCTTCTGCTGCAGCTTCTTCACCTGAGCAGCACCCTGAACAGCTCCCCTGACCCCGGTAACAGGTTTCATAACCCCTCCTCTTGCCCCACCACCCGATTTCCCCTTCCTCCCCAGCCCCACCCCGTTCTTACTTGCTGCATCTACTGCTCTCCTCAACGCATCTACCTGCGCACCTGCCTTAGTTAGTACCTCCCCCACCAGAGCACCCACCGGTGGAGCCTTCACACTGCCACTGCTGCTGCTACTGCTGCTGCCTCCTGTTCCCCCAGTGGCACTAGGGGTTTTGGGAGTAGAGCTAGATTCAGGTGTGGTGTGCGCCACGTCAGTACCAGCCCCACCAGCGTTTCCACCTGAAGAACCACCTGAAGCACCGCCTGATCCGGTCCCAGCATTCCCATTCGACCCTGAACCCGGCTGCTTGGGCTTCTTCCCGTCCTTCTTCACATTGCGCTCCGTTATAAGCTTCTTCATTCCTGCTGAAACCTCTCCGACCTTCTGCGCTGCACCCTGGGCTGCATTGCTGACTGAACTGCTTGCATCGCCAAGAGCCTTCCCAATTGACCCTGGGACAGGAGGGATGACAGGCAGGATCTTCTTGGCAGGAGGGTGGTCTTGAGATGGTGGCGGTTTATCTGCTCCTTTCCCTTGGCCTTTTCCTCCCGCTCCCCCTCCGCCCCCTCCCCCTCCGGTTCCCCCTTGTCCTCCCTCTCCCGCACCAGCTGCGTTCCCCCCTTCCGCTTCGTCCGCCGTACCACTCGTGTCGGTTTCATCTCCCCCCGTTCCGTCAGCAGCACCATCACCACCCTCAGTTTCATCTCCAACCGTCTCATCCCCCGTTCCCTCTTCCCCACCATCCCCGCTGGTATCATCTCCCGTTTCATCTCCCGACCCGTCTCCACTCGTTTCATCTCCAGATGTCCCGCCAGACGTCCCCCCTGTCCCTCCACCAGTTGCATCGTTAGGAGGGGTCGTTACAGCTGGAGGGGGAGTCGTTACAACTGGAGGGGGGGTCGTACTGCCACTGCCACCGCTCCCAGAAGAAACACTACAGCCCTTCTCATCGCTCCCGTCCTTGCAATCCGCCTTGCCGTTACACTTGAGCGTTTCATCTATGCACTGCACCTCATTGGAACACTTCCAGTACCCCTCTGGACACCCGTACACCGAGCAGTAATCCTTATCCTCATCCGGAACAACCGTTCCTCCCCCTTCGGCCGCCACCGCAGCGCAGTTAGCCACGCCGTCGCATACCATACCTGACACGCAGGCTTGTTTCCCGGGGCAGAGCACTTGGTTCGGAGAATACGGGCAGTCGAAGGAACTCTTCAGGTCGAGGCAGAAGCCCGGCCACTCGTCGGCGCCGTAGGGGCAGTCTTGATTGCCGTCACACGCTGTTGCGGGGTCGAAGCACCAAGGCGCGTCGGCGATGGATGTGAGAGGACAGGGCATCTGGAAAAGGGAAGGAGGAAATGGCAGGAATGGAGGGAGAGAAAAGAAAGAAAGGATATGAAATGAAAGAAAGCGATATTTTCTCACATTGCGCAAAACTCCCATACAGCCACCCTCAAACTCCCGCTCACTCATTCCCGCACCCCCAACCCCCCCTCTCCAACCCCTCCCTCCATTCCCCATTCACCACCCGTTTCCCTCACCATCCCATCCGTATAGCCGTCCTCACATCCCCCGCACTCCCACCGCATCTCGTGTTTGGAGTCTCAATAAACGTCTACGAGCGATACTTACCACCCCATCAGTGCAGCCATCCTCGAACCCCCCGCATTCCCACGGAAGCTCGTCGCTCTCGTCGCCGCAATCCGCCGTGCCGTCGCACAGCTGGTCGCCGCTCACGCACTCGTCGCCCGACGCGCAGTACCACTGAGGGAGGGGGAAAGGAAGGCGGGGAGGAAAGGGGGGATGCAGGTACGGACAGTTGGTCTCCGCGCACAGTTAATGACGAGCGCGCGAGAGGGAAAGGAAGAGCAGAAGGGCGCACCGAGCTCTCGTTCGACTGCGCGAGATAGGGGAGAAGGCATGGAGGAGGGGAGGAAAGGAAGAGGAGCGGGGAGAGCGCACCATGTTTTGATCCGAGTCGCAAGTGACGGCGAGGGACAGCTGAACGAAGGACGAGAACAGCAGCAGCGCGAAGAGCGGCGCGGAAAGCGGACTATTGCTTCTACGAGCCATGGCGGCTCTCGAGGCGCCGCAAATGCCGACGCGATCTGGGATACGGAATGGACGTTGTCGTGCTCGGAATGATACGTAAGTGTGTAAAGAATTTCGAGTCGACTCAAGGGTCACCCTATATTTGCGACTCGACTAAGCTGTAATGCGGACCAATGAGGCTGAGCTGTGCTGGTGCGGGATTAGAACTACACAGTGAAAGTGGGTTATCTTCCTATTACTATCGAGGAAATAGTACTACGCCCCAAAATCGCATCGCGTGCGTTCAAAACGAGAGCTCAACAGGGAGTGTCGAAAAGCTTTCACACTGCATTGCATTGAAACAAGACACCAGCAGCAAGGAGAAAGGTACGGATGGAGGAAGAGGTTTCCTTCCAATCCCATTCCCATCCCACCTCTCCCGTTACCCGTCCCGTCCAGTCCTTCCGAGGATTAGTGTGGTTCGAGGGGCTTGCACGGATAACATGCTACTAGCGAGGATAAACAGCACAAACCAGATGAGCTTTTGTTGGCAGATGAGAAGTGGTGTGGTGGCGAGGCTGCTGCGGTAACGACGAGCATTGCGCAATTTTGTTTGCCCCTGCCAGTTCACGTGCTTTGCCATGTCCGATTTGGCGGTTTGCATTTTGCCTGGGCCAGGTGGAGGTTGCTCACAAGGGACAACAAAGATCAGAGAAAACACCTGACCGTGTTGCTGGCGGCGGCTAGGCTGAGTAAAACATGCAAACCAGCCAATGGCGTGCTGCCATACTGGATTGTAAGTTCTGCTCTGCACTCGCGACTCGAATGCAGAAACGACAGTTGTGCGACACGAGAAGTGTACACCCTCTTTCTCACCGGCGGAAACACTGGCTACAGTGCTTACGTGTGCTCGGACCCTAGCGGTCTGGTGCATGCAACCGAACCCCAGGTAGGTGCGGGCAAACGCACTCCAAAGAAACGGTACACAACGGTTCGTGGAAGACACCTGGCTTTGCGTACGTTTGAGTGCGGCAAATGTGCTTATATGATATGTTCTGGGACCATTCTGGACGCATTGATGTCAGTACAACCGGCTTGTCAATATGGCGAATGTCAGTGCGCTGGATACACACTTACCCAACATGGCAACCTGGGGTACACTGTTTCCGAACCGCAGGGCAGGTCGCCGCGACATTGGCGTTGCGAAGGAGGTCCAACTTTATCGAAACTTGAAAGCTTGCCAAGGTGCAATATGCCTCATACATCTAGAAATTTCCTACATCCTATTTCATTTCAATCGCCATATTAGCAATTTCAAGAGACTACTCTGCTTTGTGAGGAGATGCAGACGCCTTGCTGGAATCTTGGGACTTGCCTCCTCCGCCCTTCTTGCGCATCTTGGCTTTGATGGTAAGCTTTGTGGCCACTGTGGCTACAGTGTTTGTGAAATTACCAACTGCCATGACTATAAGGAGAATGCCACAGGCAAAAAGCTGTCAAGCAGAGAGAGCGGGAAGGGGGAGGGAGGAGAACGAGAGGCGGGATAAAGGCCAAGTGATTCCGATATCTTGGTGAAAAAAAAAAAGTTTTGCGGCACATAGCCTGAAAAAATATAGACAGACACACCAGGGTAGAAGACACACCAACGTTATCGATTTTGAATGTCATCTCCTTCCCCACTCCAATCAACACCAACCTCGCGAGACCACATCCTTTGCCCTCCCAGACCTTCCCCTTCATCCCCCCTCTCCCAAACCTCCAACCATCCACCCCCATGTCTTTACGAATGCCACACCATTTCCCTCCCCATCCCACCCCCCATATTCTGAAGGACTATCCAGCGGCCATACCTGCCACTCAAACATCTCGTAGAGTGATGTGCGGAGCAGGCGCACGCCGATATAGAGCTGGAAGAACTGCAGAGGAGGAATGCGAGATAGGTGAGGTGAGAGGGATTGCAATGCGGTAAGGTGTAGTTTAGTGACTGCACATGGCAGGCGCACACCGATATAAAGCTGGAAGAACTGCAGAGGACGAATGAGAGAGCGGGAGGGAGAGAGACTTGTGGGAGAGGTTGCAATGCCGTAAGGTGCGGTTGAGATGCGCGCAGAGGCAGCACTTCAAAAAAAAGAAAGACAGGAAATAAAACCCATCTCTATAGTATGAAAGGGAGCGGATAGAGCGGCACGGAAAACAAAGGAACAGCGGCTCACCTGGAGAATGAAGAGGAGCGGGTAGAGCCGCACGAGCTGATGGAGAAGAAAGAGGGTGATGTGACAGTGAGGCTAATACCTGGAGTACTATGGAGGAAAACAAAGGAACAGCAACTCACCTGAAGAATGAAGAGGAGCGGGTAGAGCAGCACGAGTTGCCCCTTCATGCCTGCTGTCTCCCCCCATACCACATCCATCTGCCCTGCCTGTTGCCATGCAGCCATGCACCCATGCACCATACACCATACACCATATGCCATACACCGTACACCATGCACCATACGCCATACACCATACACCATGCACCCATGCACCATGCATGCAGCCACGCACCCATGCACCATGCAGCCATACAGCCATACATGCATGAACTCATCGTCATGCACACAGGAGAATAAGAATACAGAGCAGCAAAAAATGACTCCATGGGGGAAAGCAATGCATCATGGAATCGACGCATTGTCCCCAGCGCTGTTCCCACCTTTCCCACTGTTATCCTCATCTTGCCCCACTCACCTTGCCCTCCCCACCCACCTTCCCCAGCGCTATTCTGGTGTAGAGGCGGCGGCGCTGGTAGCGGTTCTGCAGCAGCATGGCGACGCCTTGGATGACCGCCCACATGAGGAAGAGCATGATGCCTTGCTGCTCGGGGAAAGTGGGGGGGAAGGATGAGGGGGAGGGATGGGGAGGGGAGGGAAGCCATGCCACACGTAGGGTGCAACACAGGTTCGGTTCTGCAGCAGCATGGCGACGCCTTGGATGACAGCCCACACGAGGAAGAGCATTATGCCTTGCTGCTTGGAGGGGAGGGGTGGGAGGGGCGAGTGGGGAGTGGGGGGATGGGAAAAGGGGGATGCGAGTGGTGAAAAAAAGTGAGCTGATTTCTTCTTTAGCAGCATGGCAACCGCATGAGGAAGAGCATGATGCCTTGCTGCTCGTTGAGAAAGGGGAGGGGAGGAGGGGGAATGGGGAAATGCCCAGCCTCTGCTCTCAGTTCATTAAAAGACATTCTTCACTGTGGGGAAATGCCCAGCCTCAGCTCTCAGTTCCACACTCGTACTATGGTGACTTTTGAGTCGACTCAAAAGTCACCTCAGCTCTCAGTTCCACACTCGTACTATGGTGACTTTTGAGTCGACTCAAAAGTCACCTCAGCTCTCAGTTCCACACTCGTACTATGGTGACTTTTGAGTCGACTCAAAAGTCACCTCAGCTCTCAGTTCCACACTCGTACTGAGGTGACTTTTGAGTCGACTCAAAAGTCACCTCAGCTCTCAGTTCCACACTCGTACTATTCTACGAGTGTGAGAGCAGAGATCTCTCATGCTCACCAGTCAGCTTCACCTCTAAGCCTCCGGTCTCTGCCTCGCCTATCAGCCTCCTATCCTCGCACGCGTTTCATGGCACAGCCAGGCCCCTCAATGCCCCACGCGATGCTCACCCTTCCTTCATGCTCACCTTTCAACTTCACCTCTCAACGCCACCTTTCAACCCCTCAGCACCGCATCTCACCCTACTCGCACCTTTTTCATCGCGCAGTCAGGCCTCTCTCAATGCCCCACGTGACCTTCAACCCTCATGCTCACCCTTCATGCTCACCTTTCAACCCCTCAGCACCGCATCTCATCCTCCTCGCACCTGTTTCATGGCACAGTCCGGTCCCTCAATGCCCCAAGTGAGGCTCACGAGGGCCATGAGCATGGCGTAGTAGTGGTGGTAGATCCACCTGGGGGGGGGGGGGGGGAGGATGGAGGAGTGGAGATACAGGGAAGGAGGGGAAGATGGGGGAGACAAAGGGGGCATCGGGGGAACTCACTACCTAAACAGCTCACGAGAGCCATGAGCATGGCGTAGTAGTGGTGGTAGATCCACCTGGGGGGGGGGGGGGGGAGGATGGAGGAGTGGAGATACAGGGAAGGAGGGGAAGATGGGGGAGACAAAGGGGGCATCGGGGGAACTCACTACCTAAACAGCTCACGAGAGCCATGAGCATGGCGTAGTAGTGGTGGTAAATCCACCTGGGGGAACGATGGGAGAGGATGGGATGTGGGTGTAGGGGGGAGGGGTTGGTAAGAGCTGGCGCACCACCCATCAAGCTCACGAGGGCCATGAGCATGGCGTAGTAGTGGTGGTAGATCCACCTGGGGTGGAGGGGATGGAAGAGAGGGAATAGGGAGAAGGCAAGGGGAGATATGGTTGGTTGATAGGGACATATTTACATCCCATATGTACATCCCATATGTACATCCCATATGGACATCCCATACGTAGATCCCATATGTACATCCCATATGTACATCCCATTAGGGGCATGCATCAAATCAGCTGAGCCTTTCTCCTCCCCTCTTCCCCTCTCCTCCTGCCCTCCCCTCATCCTCTCTCTCTTTTCTCCCCTCCTCCCCTGTCCTCTTCCTCTCCCCCCCTCCCCTCACCAAGGGCGGATGTCACTGCCATTGATGCGAAGAATGTTTTCCCGCAGAGCCAGGCTCGTGTAGAACAGCCTTGAGACATCTCAAACCACATGCAGAACAGTTTTAAGACGTCTCAACACTCAATTCCTCTCCCCCCCTCCGCTCACCATGGGCGGATGTCACTGCCGTTGATGCGAAGAATGTTTTCCCGCAGAGCCAGGCTCGTGTAGAACAGCAGCAGCCACGCCTGGGGGAAGGACCCAGAGGGAGAGGGGGTCGGGTGGGGAATTGGCGAGAGGAGGAAATGGGGAATTGGGGAGAGTGTTGGCACCACTCTGTTTCCCCGCAGAGACAGGATCCTGTAGAACAGCAGCAGTTACGCCAGGGGGCAAGGCCGTGGGGGAGGAGGGGATCGGGTGCGGGAATTGGAGGCGATAGGGGATATTGCCGGAATCAGGAACTAAAGTAACCCTCCCCCAACAGCACCCCCCGCCATCCCCCCCCCACCTGGTACACGTGCACCACTAGCTCCGGCAAGCACCAATGGTTCATGGCCTGCTTCGCTGCCAGCAGCAGTGACTTAGTGTAGCAGTGCCATACACGGCTCTCCCAGTAACCCCTGTGCCAATGCCCCTCCCTCCCAGTGCCCCTCCCTCCCCCAGCAGCCCCCTCCGCCAGTCACCCCCCCACCTGGTAAACGTGCACCACGAGGCCTGGCAGGCAGCGCTGCTTCATGGCCTGCTTTGCTGCCGGCAGTGGTGCTTCGACTCACCAGTGCCTGTACACGTCTCCCCCTGTAGCCCCTACCAACATAAACCCTCCCAAGTTGACCCCTCCCCCAGCAGCACCCACCTGGTAGTACACGTGCACCACCGCTGGTTCATGGCCTGCTTCGCTGCCGGAAACAGTGACTTGACCCACCCACCCATCCTTACGTACACACTCTCCCCAAGTAGCCCCTCTCCAAGTTGTCCCCTCCCCCAGGACGCACCTGGTACACGTGCACCACAAGGCCTGGCAGACAGCGTTGGTTCATGGCCTGCTTGGCTGCCAGCAGCAGCAGCGGCGCGCCGAGAAAGATGAGCGCCGTGCGATCCTGCGAGGTGCAAAGCAGGGGTAGAAGACGAAAAGGGGGAGAGCAGGAGAGGGGAGAGAACGGGAGAAGGGGAACAGGAGAGGGGGGAGAAAGAAGACAAGGAAAAACAGAAGAGGTGGGAGGGGGGAGAGCAGGGGCGAAGTGAGGCCTCCTAAACGAAGAGGCCACGCACCCTGTGACTCTTGTACTTCTAATTGACCTATAGTGAGGCCTCTTATAACGAAGCAACCACGCACTCACCCTGTAGCTGTTGTACTCCTCCTTGACTTTGAACCTCACGTCCCTGCGAGACGAGCGCACATTCACATGGCCCAGGAACAGCCACAGGAAGAAGCCTGGGGGGGGGGAGAACGGGGAGGGGAGAGGGGAAGGGGGTTGAGGAATAATCATCAATTGCGCTCCTCCTTTTAAACCTCACATCCCTCCTGGACGAGCGCACGTTCACATGGCACAGGAACAGCCACAGGAAGAAGCCTGGGGGGGGGGGGGGGGGGGGTGGTGGGGAGGAAGGGAGTAGGCATGGGCGTGGTCACGGGCATGGGCATGGGGGATGGGCACGGGCATCGATGGGAATGGGGATGGGGATGGAAATGGGGTGTGGGGATGGGGGTGGGCACGGGGATTGGGGTTGGGATATACATGGGCACGGGGATGGGGGTTGGGATATACATGGGCACGGGGATGGGGGTTGGGATAAACATGGGCACGGGGATGGGGGTTGGGATATACATGGGCACGGGGATGGGGGTTGGGATATACATGGGCACGGGGATGAGTACGATGGGCATGGGGATGGACATGGGCACGAAGATGGATGAAGTGGGGATGGGTGGGGATCACTCAGTGGCCTACCGTTGGCCTTGTGCGGCAGCAGCGCTGCTATGTCCCCCTCGTACACCATGCTCCTGGCTCGCACCAGATCTTCCTCCATCTGAGCGTTCCATCGCATGGGTGAGCAGGGAGTGTGGGGGAAGAGGAGGGGGGGGAGGAAGGGGAGTAACAGAGCACTCAGTGCGCCATGCTCTCCTGGCTCGTACCATATCCTCCTCCATCTGACGCAATAGATTGCGATGCGAAAACAGAAGCCAATCTTGCAAGGGGCCATGAGGTCGCACAATACGAGGGATACGCAAGTGTGGGCTATCTTAGTCGATCCTCAACGTAGTGGTGAAGGTGACGGGGTGACGGTGACTGGATGGAAAGGAACCTGATCTGTGCGTTCGTGCGTTCAAGTGAATACGGTAACGCATCATCTCAGCGGCGATCCCGCGCCCATAACTACCTCCCGTTCTTCCTACTCGTTCCACGAATTCTCTACGCAACAAAAGAATCCGCCAATTGCCCTAAGAGTCTGTTGTTTCATAACATATATTTTTTCACCTGCTCTGCGACTTCAGGCGAAACCTCGTCTTTCGCCGCTGCGACGTTGACGCTCTTTCGCAGCGTGCGAAGCTCCTTCTCGAGCGCGATCGCACGCTCGCCGAGAGCGTCGCCCTCGCTCTTGAGTCGCTGGCTGTACCCCGCCGCTGTTTCCTGCAGCGCCTTGCATCGCTCCATCACGGCCTCCACGTCGGACAGAAGCTTCTGGCCAGCTTCCGTTACGCCCTCCGGTAACGATGCCATGTGGCCTGGGCTTTCTGAGCTGCCAGCATCCGCCATGGCTGGACGAATCTAGGAGGAAAAGCTCAGCAAATATTAGGTCTTATTTCTTAAAGAGATTAATGGTATAGATGGAATGGTTTAGAGACGAAAGATCGGCTGAAACTACGCATGCAACTAATGGTGGTGGGGGGCTGAACGCCATAAGAATGAAGAATCCGACCTTTCAAGAATGATCACTATTGACAGCAGCCAAGAAATGGAAGAACGCTTCGACAATCCCAAGATTGTTGGAGCCAAGGACTGAACGGTCAAGATTCGCGAAGTGGAGGGGAAATCGCCGCAGAGAGGAATCGACCATTGTCAACGGTCAGGAATTGATCTGGCTTGCAGTTGAATCTGGAGCAGGTTGGGCCAGACATGAAGCACTTTTGGCTTTCCCGAGGCTCACGGCGAGGTTCGTGCTTTGCTTGTATCGAGGTGTGCTTGGCAAATTGAAGCGCATGTATCTTCACTTGAGGGCAATGGGATGTGCTGTACGTTGAGGCACTGTAGTTCTTGATAGACTGACGCTCGGTATGTTTCGTTTATACCACCTGCTTGAAACGCGTCCACGTCGAGCTGATGTCGTTGCTCCGCCAGTCAGCAATTGCCACCAGTCCAACTATTTCGTAACTTCGAAGAAGTTATCCTCCATGCAGCATTCGCGGATCTTTCCAGGAGATGGCTGGGAGAAACGCCAGTCAAGAAGCGACAAAAGATCCTCCGAGTCGCTCATATCCACGTGGCGTTTCTTGGAGCATGTGCGACCCGAAACGATGACTCTGCGAAGCCTCGCACCAGCAGTGTCTTGCACGCAGCGAAGCCCCCAATGTGGTCTGTGTTCGCAGTCCCATTCATCGCCAGCCCAATCTGTCGGTGCCGTCGAGTCATCCGAGTGATTGCGACGAGGTGAGCGACGAAAGCGACGCACCTGGCCGACGAAAGTCACAATCTACACGCTCTCGCAGAGTCTGCGAAACACCCCACCGCAGCTGCAGACAACACCCAGCCTCCCTCACGGCTCTCCTTTGCGACCATCCACTACAAATAGACCGTCCCTCGGACACAATTCATCACATCAGCAGCAAAAACAGCCCCATTTCACTACATATTTCCTCCTGCTAAAACCAGACACTACTAATTTGGAAATCAGCAGCAATCGGCATTACTACGAGATTCGACTTCTCTCCCGGTTCACCAATTATAAACGGAATTTCTCACCTTTACCAGCACAATGGCGCATTTCTCTCTCCAGACTCCCGCTGGGCAGTTCGAGCACGACGGTCGCAATGCGCAGTCCCTGGGCTCCCAGCGCAGCTACTTAGACGACTCTGAAACGCGAATCTGGATCGACGAGTCCGCAAATGCTAGCTCAGGGTCTATCAACATTCTCTCCATCCCAACAGGCCGCCTCGAGGACTATTTCGTTCAGCATTCTCACGTGTTAGGGTCCGGCCAGTTCGGGACCGTTCGCCGCTGCACGGAGCGCGCCACAGGCTCGCGCTTCGCCTGCAAGACCCTCTTAAAGGACGGGCTTAAGACCGAGGCAGACCGCGACGAGATTCGCAAGGAGATTAATCTGATGCAGAGGGTTTCGATGGGCGGCGCGCACGCAGGGATTGTGCAGCTGCGCGCAGTTTTCGAGGACCACGTCGCAGTGCACCTCGTGATGGAGCTCTGCGAAGGCGGCGAACTGTTCGACGAAGTTGTGCGACGTGGGCGATTCCACGAGCGCGACGCCGGGCACGTTTTCGCGCAGATCGCAGCAGCCGTCGCACACTGCCACGCCCGCGGCGTTCTCCACCGCGACTTGAAACCCGAAAACATTCTGCTCGTGCGGGACCCATCTGTACCGCTCTGCGCCTCACCCCTGACCACAAAAGTCGCAGACTTTGGCCTCGGCGTTGCGCTTGAGGCAGGCGAACGCACGAAAGGAGTCGCAGGGTCGCCGTTTTACATCGCACCCGAGGTCCTCACAGGCGATTACTCCCTGGGAGCCGACGTGTGGTCGCTCGGTGTAATTCTCTACATTCTCCTTAGCGGCGTGCAGCCTTTCTGGGGTACGACGGATAAGGACGTTTTCGTGGAGGTGCTTCGAGGCGTGGTTGATATGAGCGGTCCGGAGTGGGAGGGAGTGTCGGAAGAGGCAAAGCATCTCGTGCGGTGCCTGCTTCAGTCGGACGCTTCGAGAAGGCCGTCAGCTGCCGCTATCCTTTCCCACCCTTGGATTCTCCGCGCGTGCCGAGCCAGCAGCGCGGATGCTCGCCAGCTGGCCGCTGTTACGACATCAGAAGCTGCGGACACTATTATGGCGTAGAAGAGTCGGGGGGCGCTAATCTGGGGGTAGATTGTGTCGCACAGGGGAATGCCAAGTCAAGCCTCCTGAAGTCATGCGACGTCGCATGACCGTTTGTGAAGGCTTGTGAAGGGAGGCTTGGTTTGGCATTACTCCTAGATATTTGTACACTACCTTTTGTGTGCTATACTGATATAGAGTCAAATGTTCACAGAACGATTATCTTACTCAGGAAAAATAGTTGGAAACACGAACCCCAGTGACTGCACAGGAGATGGGAGATTAAATAGATGCTTCACAAAGGTGAACCGCCACTGATATAACAAGATCCTAAGATCCACGATATCTAGAAAGGTTCTGGTAGGCGCAGCTGCTCTTATGAAGCAGCTGCAATGGTATGAGTGCTGGACATTATTGCAGCGCAAAAGAATGGAAATCCTAATAATTTGTACTACCTTATTTACACATCATGGAGACTCGGTTGCGGGCCCATTGGGTGGGCTCTGTCGCCTTTCGAGAATCTCCGTGTTTATAAACGCCAATTGGGAGAGGTTCTGAAATGCATGAAAGGATATGGGAGAGAGAGGGAGAGGCCATGTAATGAGGTTACTGTGGGAATGGTTCTCTGGGCGAGCTCAAATCCAGGAAGCTACCTGGAAGGAGAAGCTTGAGAAGCAAATACTGCATTGTCACGAAGCTATCTGAAACGAGAAACCCGGAGGTTTCTTTGAAGGCTATGGCTCAAACGAGAAAAAAAAAAAAAAAAAAAAACGCACGCCATGTTGCTAAATTTCCTGGTCGGTTGTAGATCCAATCAAGAGCACGTGACGTGAGGCTCACGAGAGCCATGAGCACGGCGTATTAGTGATGGTAGATCCACCTGGGGGGGGATGAAGGATGTGAGAGGATGGGAGGAGAGGGGAGGATGGGGCATTTGGTTTATTGGATGAACCATACCCACATTAGCATGGCATAGATTGAGCATAGATGGTAAATCCAGTCCGGGAGAGAACGACTGAGATGGGAAACGACCGTATCAACAAGACCCTCTCTCTCCCCTGCACACTCCCAGGTGAACGCGGGAGCGAAAACAGCAATTTGGACAAACTCAAAAACAGTTTCCCACTCCCCTTACCTGATCCTCTCTTCTCCTCTCTTCCACTCTTCCGTCTCTCTTTTCATCCACCTCTCCCCTCACCAGGGGCGGATGTCACTGCCATTGATGCGAAGAATGTTTTCCCGCAGGGCCAGGCTCCTGTAGAACAGCAGCAGCCACGCCTGGGGGAAGGGGAGGAGGGAAGTGGAAAGAAGGGAGGTGGAAGAATGGTGTAAGTGTGCGCACTGGACTGCCTTCTTGCAGAGCCAGGCTCGTGTAGAACAGCAGCAGCCACGCCTGGGAGAAGGGCGAAGAGGGAGAAGGGGTCGGGAGGGGGGATTGGCGAGAGGAGGAAATGGGGTGAAATTGGGGAGAGTGTTTGCACTAATCTGGTTTCCCGCAAAGCCAGGCTCGTGTAGAACAGCAGCAGCCACGCCTGGGGTTAGGGTGCAGGGGACGAGGGGATCAGGTGCGGGAATTGGAGAGAGGAGGAGATGGGGTGGAGTTGGGAAGAGTGTGCGCACTGGACTGCCTTCTTGCAGAGTCAGGCTCGAGTAGAACAGCAGCAGCCATGCCTGGGGTAAGCGGGCGGGGAGACAGGGGAAGGGGGTGGGGGAGGAAGGAAGGAGGGTTTACGGTGGTAGCTTGTGCTGCAAGGCTTCCCGCAGAGCCAGGCTCGTGTAGAACAGCAGCTGCCACGCCTGGGGAGAACGGGAGGGGGATAGAGTGTTTGCTTGCAAAATCAACCACCAGTGCTTCACCCCTAGCGCCCCTCGCTCTCCAGTGCCCCTCGTTCTCCAGTGCCCCTCGTTCTCCAGTGCCCCTCGTTCTCCAGTGCCCCTCGTTCTCCAGTGCCCCTCGTTCTCCAGTGCCCCTCGTTCTCCAGTGCCCCTCGTTCTCCAGTGCCCCTCGTTCTCCAGTGCCCCTCGTTCTCCAGTGCCCCTCGTTCTCCAGTGCCCCTCGTTCTCCAGTGCCCCTCGTTCTCCAGTGCCCCTCGTTCTCCAGTGCCCCTCGTTCTCCAGTGCCCCTCCTTCTCCAGTGCCCCTCCTTCTCCAGTGCCCCTCCTTCTCCAGTGCCCCTCGTTCTCCAGTGCCCCTCGTTCTCCAGTGCCCCTCGTTCTCCAGTACCCCTCGTTCTCCAGTGCCCCTCGTTCTCCAGTGCCCCTCGTTCTCCAGTGCCCCTCGTTCTCCAGTGCCCCTCGTTCTGCAGTGCCCCTCCTTCTCCAGTGCCCCTCCTTCTCCAGTGCCCCTCGTTCTCCAGTGCCCCTCGTTCTCCAGTGCCCCTCGTTCTCCAGTGCCCCTCGTTCTCCAGTGCCCCTCGTTCTCCAGTGCCCCTCCTTCTCCAGTGCCCCTCCTTCTCCAGTGCCCCTCCTTCTCCAGTGCCCCTCGTTCTCCAGTGCCCCTCGTTCTCCAGTGCCCCTCGTTCTCCAGTGCCCCTCGTTCTCCAGTGCCCCTCGTTCTCCAGTGCCCCTCGTTCTCCAGTGCCCCTCGTTCTCCAGTGCCCCTCGTTCTCCAGTGCCCCTCGTTCTCCAGTGCCCCTCACTCTCCAGTGCCCCTCGCTCTCCAGTGCCCCTCTCCCCCAGTCCCCCCTCATTATCCGATCATCCACAGTGGCCCCTTCCACTTAGCGTTGCCTCCCCAGTGCCCTCAACAGCCCCCCACCTGGTACACGTGCACCACGAGGCCCGGCAAGCACCACTGGTTCATGGCCTGCTTCGCTGCCAGCAGCAGAAATTCGACCCATCCAGGTGAGACGTCGATGCACTCCAATGATGCCCCTTTCACACGCCTCACACGTCGCTCCCTGTACCCCCTCCCTCAATAGCCCCTCCCCTAGTAATCCCTCCCCCACCTGGTATACATGCACCACGAGCCCTGGCAAGCAGCGCTGGTTCATGGCCTGCTTCGCTGCCAGCAGCAGCAGCGGCGGCGCACCCAGAAAGATGAGAGCCGTGCGATCCTGCCACGTGCAAAGCAGGGGTAGAGGACGACGCAAGTGGGGAGAGCAGGAGAGAGGAGAGAGCAGCGGGAGCAGGAGATGGGGCAGAGAAGGAGGGCGCGGAGAGCAGACGAGGTGGGCGAGCAGAAGAGCGGAGAGAGCAGGAGCGAAGTGAGGCCTTCTAATGAAGCAGCCACTGACCCTGTGATGAAGAAAGCACTCACTCAACCTGGAGCTGTTTTACAGCTCTTGACCTCTAGCGAGGCATCTTATAATGAAGCAAGCACTCACCCTGTAGCTGTTGTACTCCTCCTTGACCTTGAACCTCACATCCCTGCGAGATGACCGCACATTCACATGGCCCAGGAACAACCACAGGAAGAAGCCTGGAGGGGGGTAGAGAGGATGGGGATGGGGATGGGGATGGAGTGGGGATGCGGATCATTGGCTCACCGTTGGCCTTGTGTGGCAGCAGCGCCGCTATATCACCCTCATACACCATGCTCCTGGCCCGCACCAGATCCTCCTCCATCCGACGGCTCAAAAGCATTATCAGGGAGTGGGAGAAGTAGGGGGGTTTAAGAGCGTCACAAACAGTATCGCCACCATGATCCTGGCTCGCACCATCTGATGACTCACACGCGTCAACTGGAAAGCGGATATAGAAGCAATGAAGGGAACGTACACCGCGCTCCAAATAGAGATGGACTTGGACGGATACTCAATCTTGAGTGCCATGATGGCGCAAACAAATGAGGGTCACGGAATCATAGCTTCTTCGATAATCCTCAACAATAACGATAACAGTGATGGTGACGGTAACAGTGACGGCGACGGTGACAGGATGAAACGGAACCTGATCTGTGCGTGCCTGCACCTGGACGCGATGGCGCGCGAGGTTAATTCTACGAATCCTAATTTCAGCAACGCTCTCTCGCCGAAAATTATCTCCAATCTTTCTCCCCGTTCCATCAATCTAATAAGCTTATAAATAAAATCCCTGATTGTCTTAAGAATCTGTTGCTTCTCTACGAATCTCACGAGTCACCTGCTCTGCGACTTCAGGCGAAACCTCGTCTTTCGCCGCGGCGACGTTGACGATCTTTCGCAGCGCGCGAAGCTCCTTTTCAAGCGTGATCGCACGCTCGCCGAGAGCGTCGCCTTCGCTCTTGAGTCGCTGGCTATACCCCGCCGCTGTTTCCTACAGCGCCTTGCATCGTTCCATCACCGCCTCCACGTCTGACAGAAGCTTCTGACCAGCTTCCGTCACGCCCTCTGGTAACGATGCCATGTGGCCTGGGCTTTCTGAGCTGCCAGAATCCGCCATGGCTGGACGAATCTAGGAGGAAAAATATTAGGTCTTATTTCTTAAAGAGATTAATGGTATAGATGGAATGGTTTAGAGACGAAAGATCGGCTGAAACTACGCATGCAACTAATGGTGGTGAGGGGCTGAACGCGATAAGAATGAAGAATCCGATCTTTCAAGAATGATCACTATTGACAGCAGCCAAGAAATGGAAGAACGCTTCGACAATCCCAAGATTGTTGGAGCCAAGGACTGAACGGTCAAGATCGGCGAAGTGGAGGGGAAATCACCGCAGAGAGGAATCGACGGAGCACCATCACATTGTCAACGGTCAGGAATTGAACTGGCTTGCAGTTGAATCTGGAGCCGGTTGGGCCAGACATGAAGCACTTTTGGCTTTCCCGAGGCTCACGGCGAGGTTCGTGATTTGCTTGTGTCGGGGTGTGCTTCGCATTGAAGTGCATGTATCTTCACTTGAGGGCAATGGGATGTGCTGTACGTTGAGGCACTGTAGTTCTTGATAGACTGACGCTCGGTATGTTTCGTTTATACCACCTGCTTGAAACGCGTCCACGTCGAGCTGATGTCGTTGCTCCACTAGTCAGCACTTGCCACCAGTCCAGCAGCTGTCGTAACTTCGAAGAAGTTATGCTCCTCGCAACATTCGCGGAGCTTTCCAGGAGATGGCTGGGAGAAACGCCAGTCAAGAAACGACAAAAGATCCTCCGAGTCGCCCATGTCCACGCGGCGCTCCTTGGAGCATGTGCGACCCGAAACGATGACTCTACGAAGCCTCGCACACGCAGCGAAGCCCCCAATGTGGTCTGTGTTCGCAGTCTCCATTCATCGCCAGCCCAATCTGTCGGTGCCGCCGAGTCATCGAAGTGATTGCGACGGGGTGAGCGACGGAAGCGACGCACCTGGCCGACGAAAGTCACAAGCTACACGCCGTCGCACAGTCTGCGAAACCCACCACGGCAGCTGCAGACAACGCCAAGCCTCCCTCACGACTCACCTCTGCGACCATCCACTACAAATAGACCGTCCCTCCGACCACAATTCATCACACCAGCTGCAAAAATAGCCCCTTCTCGCTCAATCTTTCCTACTGCTAAACCTAGTAGGCACTACTAATCGAAAATCAGGAGCAATCGGCATTACTACGAGATTCGCCTTCTCCCGGTTAACCAATTATAAACGGATTTTCTCACTTCTACCAGCACAATGGCGCATTTCTCTCTCCAGACTCCCGCCGGGCAGTACGAGCACGACGGTCGCAATGCGCAGTCCCTTGGCTCCCAGCGCAGCTACTTAGACGACTCTGAAACGCGAATCTGGATCGACGAGACCGCAAACGCTAGCTCAGGGTCTATCAACGTTCTCTCCATCCCAACAGGCCGCCTCGAGGACTATTTCGTTCTGGATTCTCACGTGTTGGGGTCCGGCCAGTTCGGGACCGTTCGCCGCTGCACGGAGCGCGCCACAGGCTCGCGCTTCGCCTGCAAGACCCTCTTAAAGGACGGGCTTAAGACCGAGGCAGAGCGCGACGAGATTCGCAAGGAGATCAATCTGATGCAGAGGGTTTCGATGGGCGGCGCGCACGCAGGGATTGTGCAGCTGCGCGCCGTTTTCGAGGACGATGTCGCAGTGCACCTCGTGATGGAGCTCTGCGAAGGCGGCGAACTGTTCGACGAAGTTGTGCGACGCGGGCGATTCCACGAGCGCGACGCCGCGAGCGTTTTCGCGCAGATCGCAGCGGCCGTCGCACACTGCCACACCCGCGGGGTCCTCCACCGCGACTTGAAACCCGAAAACATCCTGCTTGTGCGGGACCCATCTGTACCCCTGATCACAAAAGTCGCAGACTTCGGCCTCGGCGTTGCGCTTGAGGCAGGCGAGCGCACGAAAGGAGTCGCGGGATCGCCGTTTTACATCGCACCCGAGGTCCTCACAGGCGATTACTCTCTAGGAGCCGACGTGTGGTCGCTCGGTGTCATTCTCTACATTCTCCTCAGCGGCGTGCCGCCTTTCTGGGGCGCTACGGATAAGGACGTTTTCGTCGAAGTGCTTCGCGGCGTGGTTGATATGAGCGGTGCGGAGTGGGAGGGAGTGTCGGAAGAGGCAAAGCATCTCGTGCGGTGCCTGCTTCAGTCGGACGCTTCGAGAAGGCCGTCAGCTGCCGCTATCCTTTCCCACCCTTGGATTCTCCGCGCGTGCCGCGTCAGCAGCGCGGGTGCTCGCCAGCTGGCCCCTGTTACGACATCAGAAGCAGCGGACACTATTATGGCGTAAAATTTCAATCCGATGGTCAACATTAGCTAGGTTTGGGGTGTAGAAGAGCTGGGGGCTGCTAATCTGGCAGTAGATTGTGTCGCACAGGGGAATGCCAAGCCAAGCCTCCTGAAGTCATGCGACGTCGCATGACCGTTTGCGAACTGCAAGGGGAGGCTTGTGAAGAGAGGCTTGGTTTGGCATTACTCCTAGATATTTGTACACTACCTCTTGTGTGCTATACTTATATGAAGTCAATTGTTCACATAACGATCATCTTCCTCAGGAGAATTATTGGTGTCACAAACCCCAGTGACTACATAGAAGGGGAGATTGAATAGATGCTTCACAAAAGAGAAGCTCCACTGATATAACAAGATCGTAAGATCCACAATATCAAGAAAGGTTCTGGTAGGCGCAGCTGCTCATATGGAGCAGCTGCAATGGTAGGAGTGCTGGACATTATTGCAGCACGGAAGAATGGAAATTCAATTAATTTCTACTACCCTTATTTACACATCATGGAGAGTCGGTTGCGGGCCCATTGGGTGGGCTCTGCCGCCTTTCAAGGATCTCGGTGTTGATGAAAGCCAGCTGGGAGAGGTTCTGAAATGCATGAATGGACAAGGGAGAGAGAGAGAGGGAGAGGCCATGACATGGGTTCATTGTGGGAATGGTTAGCTTTCTGGGCGAGCTCACATCCAGGAAGCTAACTGGAAGGAGATGCCTGAGTAGCGAATACAGCACTGATACTGAATACAGTACCATCTGAATCGAGAAACTTCGAGATTACGTAAAGGCTACAGCTCGAACGATGTTGGAAAAAGGCATGCTATGTTGCCCAATTTCCTGCACACTGTCACATACCTTGCATCAACACCCCCAATATCAACCTCTCAACTTATCAGCCTATGAGCCTATCGACCAATCCCCCTATTAGGATATCTGTCCTAACCATTCAATCCAGGCAGGCAGCATACCTTGAAGGAAAGGCCTGAGAAGTCAACCGCGTCGAACTGGAATGCCGGCACGTCACCTACCTTGTCATGCTTTATCAGCCTACTAGCCTATCAGTCTATCAGCCTATCAGTCTATCAGCCGATCAGCCTATCGGTCTATCAGCCTATCAGCCTATCGGTCTACCCATTAGATCAATCTACGCATGGCAGGCAGCGTACCTTGAAGGAAAATCCTGAGAAGTCAACCGCGTTGGACCGGAATGCCGGCGTGTCACCCATTTCTCCGTGCATATCAGTCTATCAGCCTACCCATTCTACCCATGCAAGCCAGGCAGCATACGGTACCTTGAAGGAGAAGCCTGAGAAGTCAACCACGTTGGACTGGAATGCGGGCATGTCACCCGCCTCATCGTGCTGAGAGGGGAGGGGAGGGAGGGGCAGGAGGGGTGAGAGAGGAGAGTGGAACGGGTGGGAGGGGTGAGAGAGGAGAGTGGAACGGGTGGGAGGGGTGAGAGAGGAGAGTGGAACGGGTGGGAGGGGTGAGAGAGGAGAGTGGAACGGGTGGGAGGGGTGAGAGAGGAGAGTGGAACGGGTGGGAGGGGTGAGAGAGGAGAGTGGAACGGGTGGGAGGGGTGAGAGAGGAGAGTGGAACGGGTGGGAGGGGTGAGAGAGGAGAGTGGAACGGGTGGGAGGGGTGAGAGAGGAGAGTGGAACGGGTGGGAGGGGTGAGAGAGGAGAGTGGAACGGGTGGGAGGGGTGAGAGAGGAGAGTGGAACGGGTGGGAGGGGTGAGAGAGGAGAGTGGAACGGGTGGGAGGGGTGAGAGAGGAGAGTGGAACGGGTGGGAGGGGTGAGAGAGGAGAGTGGAACGGGTGGGAGGGGTGAGAGAGGAGAGTGGAACGGGTGGGAGGGGTGAGAGAGGAGAGTGGAACGGGTGGGAGGGGTGAGAGAGGAGAGTGGAACGGGTGGGAGGGGTGAGAGAGGAGAGTGGAAC